GACATTAATGACAATGTGTCTTTTACAGCAATATTTTTAAAAATTGGAGGCTTCACCATATTTCATCACTCCTCATATATACACTTACTGTGTATTTATATATGCTGCATGAACAACATTCACAGGCAGATGCCAGCCTTCACCATCTGCCCTTGGTAGTGATGTCCATTCCCTTTGCTTCTGGAAACTTCCCGGTTATCTAGAAGAAGCACTGTGGAGCTTCATTATCCCAGACACAGCCAAGGTTGAGAGAGCCGTGCCCAGGAGGGATGACAGCTGGCTTCCGGCCTTTTTGCACGCTCCTTCTGGTTGGAGGAGCATGGGTACCGTTGGCAGGCAGCATCACCGGGTGCTTCAGTGGACTCACCGCGTACTACAGAAAAGTGTTTGCAGAATTTCCTATTCAGAAAGTCACCACATGACAGGCCTCTAAATAGCAAAGCTGTTTTCCCCGTGAAAACTCTGGTGAGGTGGTATTAGCGAGCCTAATTTTTGCCTGTTCTGTATTTTGAGTGATATAGAGAATAGAAAACCTCAATTGCTGGTGAATGCAAAAACCACTAATTACAGTGATTTTACTTCCCCATCCCTAAATTGGCGATAATCACCACGCAGTTATGATAAAGTGAGGCAAGATAATAACAAAGTAGAAGGCACCCTTGAATTCTGACCTCCCCACCATCCTATAGAAAGGAAGCCAGCACCTGTCAAAACACGGATGCTGGGGGATGGTCTGGGGCCCAGGCGCTGCAGCGGGCTTTGGAGATAAAATGACAAACCATTGTAGGTAACAAATGACCACCGTCCTCCTGCCTTGGGCCCCTCTAGTTCCATCCTCTGGATGTCCCTCAGCTTTCTCTCTCTAAAATACAAATCCGTTTCAGCTTCCTTGCTGATCAAATTGCATTCATGATGCTACAGAGGCTGCCCTGAGTGTGGGAGATCCTTCTTTTTCCTAACAGAATTTCCAGCAGGGTCTTAGTGGAGACAGAGGTAGACAGATTAGAGATAATTATATATTTAAAGGTGGAGACTAGAGGCATAATAAACAATGTGGCATCTGTGTTTTCCACCCTGGCTTCTGCACATTAGGTATGACGGTATCACTGTCCTACACTAAGTTCTTCCATTGTCTTCTCTTAGCCTTGTCACCTCCCTGTCCTCCAGCTAGCAGAATCACCCTACAGTTCCCCTGTGTGCGCTAACCTCCTCTTCAGTGCCTGGGTCCTTGCCTGGGTCTTTCTCTTGGGTTACAATCGGGCTTCTTACCTATGGAGTCTATGTTCACAGCTTCCATTGCCTTCAGGTCCAAAATTTTCCAAAAGACAGCTCCGACTGCTCTGAACACATGCAATGTGGGGTAATGACTGTACACATAATCTATCATATCAGGTACTCTAAGCCATCCCACATTTAAAGCATCAAGTACTCCCACATTTAAAGCATCAGGTACTCCCACATTTAAAGCATCAGGTACTCTAAGCCTCCCACATTTAAAGCATCAAGTACTCCCACATTTAAATCATCAGGTACTCCTACATTTAAAGCATCAGGTACTCTAAGCCTCCCACATTTAAAGCATGTGGGAGGTGGTGCGTAAGTTCCATGCAAATGCTGTGCCATTTTATGCCAGGGACTTGCGCATCCTCAGAGGTGGGTGGGTACAGAGGTTCCTGGAGCTGGGTCCCTGGGATACTGAAGGGCAACCATACTCACCTCTTCTGTTCCCTGCATGGCGAGCTCACACTGGCTAATGAAAACTTCGGAGAGGTGTCCCCTAGAGGGAAGTTCCAGTTTCCTTCCCTGCAGCTTCCAAAGCACCCTTCCCATTGCCCTGTCCCCCATGCCATGGGTGGCACTGATGCCTCCTTGACAGTTCTTCCCTTGGGCTGCAAACTGTCCAAGGTTAGAATCCGTGTCTTTCTTAGTTTCATCTTCCTGGACCTCAGCTCAGAATTTGGTCCAATGTAGATGTCCAGAACAGGACGGTTGATACTAAGTTGCTTCACACAATCATCATCACTAATGAGTTTAGGAAAAAGAGACACACGTGGAGGAAGAGTGATTCAGGATCGAGGGGGAAGTAAAAGAGGGGGAGTGCAGAGACCATAAAGGACAACAGTTTTATTCTGAAGTATGCTATAGAGTTCAGAAATCCAACTAGCATTGCCTGAGATAGAAACTGCCCATCCAAGTCATTATGTGGGTGTAGGCAATGCAGAAGGTGTAGAATGGGGAGAAGCAGCCACACTCGTCTGAGGAAGGATGAAAAACTTCCCCCTCCCGTCTGTAGCATGCGGTGCACCTGTGGGGTGCTGTGACCTAAAACCAGGCCCCAGGACACTTGCGACCACATCCTCCAAAACCCCTGATGCCCAGGAGAGCCGGGAGCCCTGGCCCACGCCATGAACCTGCTCTAGAAGTGGTCTGTGATTATTCTAGAAGGGAAGGGCAGACAAATCTAACATTGATGTTGAGACTCTCAGCTCTAGAAGGTGATGCCCCAGAGTGGGTAGAGAAAGGTTTTATTTTCCTCTGTCCCTGAGCCATGTACTGGCCACACCTAACTTGCTCCTTTGTCACTGTTTAACCTTATGATGTTGTCAAAGGTGCAGGAATTTGACTTCCCAGCCAAGAATACACCAGCACCAATCTCTTCCTAGCAGGGTCCCCACCAGGCATGCCCTGGCTTGGGCATCAAGTTTGCATGGCAGACCAGAGTGGGACCTGCTGATCACTGTCCCCAGCATCACACATACGTCGGGCTGCCCTGTGTGCAGCAGCATCCTGTGTGGGCAGGCCCAGTCAGTCCTCTCTGGGGGGCGATGCTGGAGGAAACTGCCTTATGTGACAGGAGGGTGGACGCTGTGGACGCTCATGTAAAAGTCACTCATCTGCATTCCCACCATGTGTCTGAGTTCCCTGTCACTTCTGAATAGAGATCTCTCTGCCTGTTGTTCACGAGGTGAACTGAAGGTCGCTGTTTTGCCCAATTGGTTTACACTTTTCCCCACTGAGTGATGTATGTGATTTCGGGGAGTAGTGTTTAGCCCATGCATAAAACCTCTGCGAAAATCATGTTTCAAATTATGAATAAACAAAAACCTACACCAAAAATCAAAGTGGGGTTTGGTGGGGTGGTGCTCGTTGCAGAGCTGAGGCTTCAACTTTGCGGCCAACGTAGCTTTATTTTTAAAAAACAAAATGACTGTGAAAACCTGGGTGGCAGGCACTGTGGTATTCTTTATGCTCTATATTTATCATAAGCTTAAATGCTCCATAATATGTCCTGTGTGAAACGTCTTTGGCGTAGAATCAGAGAATCCTGAGAAGTAATATGGCCGCTGTAAGCTGTACTCGCTACAAATGTCTTGTTTTTCGTATTTCAGGGAAGCTCACTGATTTGGGTTGCAGTGTATATGTCTTTCCTTTCCAAAACCCATTATCATTCAGATTGTTAGTCAGCTTTACCTGTTTTTGCCCTCATGCTGTTGCACTGGGAAAATCTTACGTTCTAAAAGTCTGGGTATACAGAAATTAAGTGAATATGAAACATGAAGCTTTTCAGAACTGTGGGGGGTGTGGGGAACCAGTGGCCCCCAAAGGCGTCTGTCTACATCCTACTCCTGAGAGTTTACTCATCTTTTGTTTGGAAGGGCAAAGGGGCCTTTGCAGATGAGGCTGGCTTAGGGTTTTGAGGAGGAGTGTGGAGGGGGTTATCCAGGTGGTGTGAAGAGATGGCAGGGGTCCTGGGAGAGGCGGGGAGGTGCGGCTAGGGAAGGACGTGTGGGGACGGCTCTGGGTCCAGCTGTCTGCCCGGCACCCTGCACCACCTCCAGCCAGGCAGTCTGAGTCTTCTTGTTTATAAGAGGGAGTGAGGGTTCTGCAGCTTCCCTCAGACGTCGCTCATGAGGCTGAAGCAACACAGTCTCCACCAAGTGCTGTTGCTGGACTTTGGGCATAGAGGAGGGGCCGTCAGCGTGGACCAGGGTGTGTTAAGCCATGAGCCAGTCGGAGGCTTTGTCCTGTGTTTGTGGCTGCTGAATTTATTAGCACATTGAAAAAGATCTCTTTTTGTTTTGGGAAACCATATCAGTTATGCTAGCTTTGCTCGTATAAATCTACAAGAAAGATCTGTGTGTTCTGGGGGTCACTGGGGCTCCACACAAACTCCTTGCCTGGGTGGGGTCTTCCTTTCATTTGAATGTGAGGCATGGAAATAAGTATTGTTTTGTCTGGTCCCTGAAAAATGACGTGATTATGGTGAATCATTAGATCTTAACTCAGGGGACTAAAGGTTTGCAGATTTCTACCTGACCTTGGGCTCCTGGGAGGAGAACCTGGGGGCCAGGAAACTATCTGCCCCCAAGGGAAACGTGCATCCAGCTTAGGCTCCCGGGCTTGGCCTTTCTCCAGGTTGCAAGGGTTCCACACACAAACAGATGCTGTGAGCCCAGAATCCAGGACTCTGTGGTTCCTTTCAGAAATAAATACAGAGGAAACAAGCAGAAGATTTCTCTCCTTTAGAATTCTCGGGGTTTCTAAGTAGGTTTAGAATTTCACAGAAGTAGATGGGTGAGCAGAAATGAGAAGAGTTAAGGCTGTGGGATTTAAAAATTAAAAAATCAGATGAGTGGGTCCCAGAGGTGTTCAGGGCCCTGGGGAACTGAAGAGAAGTCTGTGGTTACGTGGAGAAGGATGCTGGGGCATGCAGAGAGGAAGGCTACAGTGCCGATGCCAGAAGACTCACAGATGTGTGATTCTGGGATGCGGGACAGAGGGCACAGATGGTTAGATGGAGCCTGGGAGCTGACGTACTCTCCCAGAGACAGCAGGGACCCCAGAGTCAGTGAGCAATGCCATGGTCTAGAGCAGATGGGGAGGTGACCATTTAGCCCAGGAGCCAGGTGTTGCATCCTGGGTGAATCTTGTGTCCCCATAGCAGCTGTTGCATTCTGGGTGAATCTTGTGTCCCCATAGCAGTTGTGTCTTCCCTTCAGAATCACCGCCTGCGCAATGACCATGAATAAGTACGTGGAGGAAAACGTGTCCCAGAAGTCTTACACCACCATCAAGTACTTCATGAAGATGCTGAGCAGCGTCAGCGAGACCCTCATCTTCATCTTCATGGGCGTGTCCACCGTGGGGAAGAACCACGAGTGGAACTGGGCCTTCGTCTGCTTCACGCTGGCCTTCTGCCTCATCTGGAGGGCGCTGGGTGAGGGGCCGTGTGCGAGGTGCACTCTGGCCACTGGGACGTACCAGGGCCTTTCTTCCTGTGTCCACCTGTCGCTGCACTGTGCTTTATTTCTTCTTCCCCGTATCCTTCCTTTCCCTTCACCTCCTCCTCCTGCCTCCTTTTCATTCTCCTTCTTTCCTCCTTCCTCTTCTCCCTCCTCCCTCCCCTCTTTGCATCTTTCTCATCTCCTTTCCATTTCTTCTGCTTCTTTCTCTGATGCTTTTTCCTGTTTTACACAGCTCCTTTCTTTCCTCCTCTTCCTCTTCTTCCTTCCTTTCCCTTTCTTTCTCTGCTTTCTCTTCTTCTTCCTTTTCTTCCTCTCACCTCCTCTTCCTCATCTCTTTTCTCCTCCTCCTCTCTTTCTTCTGCTCTCCTCACTTCCTGACATTTTCTTCTCTTCCCTTGGCTGCAAATGCAATCAGTCCATCTGGCTTCTCTGTTGCCACACTTTCCCCTGTTATCCTGGAGCAATGACAGCAAAGACCTGACCCCCAGGGGTCCTACCGGACAGGTCTTGGGACATCTCCTTAAATACTTGGCCCCATCCAAGGAGCACAGAAAACGGGTGGAACCATCACATAGCCTGGCCTCATGGTCCACTTCTGGGTCTGTCTTTCTGCCCAGGCGTCTTTGTCCTGACCCAAGTCATCAACTGGTTCCGAACCATCCCACTCACCTTCAAGGACCAGTTCATCATTGCCTACGGAGGCCTGCGAGGTGCCATCTGCTTCGCGCTGGTGTTCCTGCTCCCGGCCGCCGTGTTCCCCCGCAAGAAGCTGTTCATCACGGCCGCCATTGTGGTCATATTCTTCACCGTTTTCATCCTGGTGAGTCTCGTCCTTTCTCTCTGAAGTGCTCCCTGAGCCAGGGCACAGTGAGGCTTTTCCATCTAACACATGGATTCTGTAGACAGTGTGCCAAGTGGCAAGGTGTGTGGAGGATTTGGGAGCCATGTCACTGGGAACAGGATATTTCCTGCCTGGGCTCACATCCCTGGCTTATCCAGGGAGCTAAGAGAGTCGGGTCCAGTCCCCGGGGCCCCCACAGCTGTGCTGTTTATAGACATACAGCCCTGGGAGCTCAGCTTTCTCCTGGATGCTCCCAGACTGCATTCACTAATCCTGCCTTGTGTGTCCTTCTCTGGCCCAGTGAGCGAGCTCCTCATGGGCTGCCCGTGCTCTGTGACCCTGCCCAGCCCTGTGCCATGGGCTGACTGCCGGAGACACAGGCTGGGTGAACTCTGGCTTAATATTGGGGTGCAGTAGATGCATCTGGAGACCATAACGTTGAGTGAAAAAATCAGACACAAAGCTTAAATATTGCATGGTTTCTCTTATATGAGAAACCCAAAGTGTAAATAAATTAAAGATAGAAATAAATGATAAATAATAAGGAGATAGGTCTTTTGTAGATATGAAGAGACCAGGAGATAGAGAGACCTGGAGGGAAGGAAGAGGAAGGTGCGGAGAGAAGGCAGCAGTGTCATGCACAGGCACCGACTCCCCACAAGAAATGTAATCATCCTGTGCTGCAAAACTGGACTCATAAAAATAAAACTTTAGAAAAGATGAATAAGTAATAATAACAGTAATAATACTGGGATGCAACAAGCATGGTGGGCCTAGGTCAGGGGCTGGACTTTGGGAGTTCTTCCAGACCTGGCTCCCTCCCAGGGCTTCCATTTTGTGGACTCTCGCAGAGTAAATATTGGCTGGTCTCCTGCTGTGGGCTCTGCAGGACTCTGCAGACCTAGGATCCCAACCTGAGGAGGACAGGATGATCCCAATGCCCCAGGATTGGTGTGGCTGGCTGGGATGGCACAGGGAGGTAGCAGGCTCTAGACATGTGATGCTGGCACACGAGGAAATCAGGGAATTGAAAGTGAGCAATCCAGGGTGCAAAGGTGCCTGGGGGATCAGCAGAGAAACCCCGTGCAGGGGCCAGGGGAACAGCCCTGTGCTGATTGTCACAGAAAAGAGCCGAGATGCATGGGACTGGAACAGAGGCTTCTGGAAGTCCTGCTGGGGAGCCCTGCTGGACAGAGGGCTGCAGAGCACCTCATGCTCTGAGGTCCAGGGTGGCAGGACTGGGATGGCGGGCGCAGGAGGAGGTAAGGAGACCTGGAGCTGGATCACAAAGGTCCTTCAGGCCAATATCATCTCCACTCTCCTCCGGCAGAGGCACAAGTCCATGAGGGACTTCATGTTTAGAACATGGGGTTCAGGGGGGGCAACCTTGTCTTCACATGGATTTCCCCAGCTCTGTGCCAAGAGGCAAGGGCAGAGACAAGGGTCCAGAGGAGGTCACTGTTGTCACCACACTGCCCTGTGGTGGTGGGAAAGAGCTAGACCTGTGAGACCCTGGGATTCAGTCTAAAGATGGGGCTGCAGATTCCCTGGTGGCCAGTGGCATCCCTGGGGTTTGTCCTGCAGACCCTGGAGGGGAGCGTGCATGGAAGAGACAGGCAGGAAGCAGGCAGCAGGGTCACTCACATCCCCTGGAGTTGAGGATCTTGGCAACCAGTCATCATCCTGTTTGCTGCTCACTCCTTGTGAGCAAAATCAGCGAACTGATTTTGTATCTTCAGCTTCCTGCACCTGGGGCCAGGAGGAAGCTGGGCTACACTTGGCAGGGTGGGAGGGTCCCCTCCTCCCCTCCTGGGCCGCTGCCCTACAGCCAGGGGGCCAGGTGTTTCTATGAGGCTGCCCCAGTGCCTAACCTGCTGCAAAAACCCTGCCTCCTGCTGCAAATACCACACATGCAGCCGCTGAGGAATCACACAAAGGTGACATCAGAAAGAGGTCGGTCAGGCTGGGACAGAGAATATGAGCTCCTGTGATTTAGCTATTGTGTTCACAAGACACAAAATTTTATCTCTGCAATCGCCATAAATATTGTATGAAGAAACATAGACAGTATTGCAAAAATGTATAACGTTATTTATGGAAGTCATGTATAGATACTATAGGGTTTCACTGTTGTGCACACAGGTTTGGCTGTTTGGGATTAAGATTCAGTCTAGAAAGTTACCTATCATCTGTATGAAATTCCTGTACACTCCCTTTGAAGGAACACTATGTATAACAATACATTTTTAATGTGACAGATTAACCTCTCTGTGTTTGTTAACGAACCTAAAGGTTGTCTGTGTTCTTCTCATGGCTGATTAGTAACGAACTGCTTGTAAATGGATGTTCCTGAGGGGAGAGGGTCAGTTAGACCTTGCCCATAGTAGCTTATTCTAAACCTTCCCATCCTTTACACTGAGATATTTGTTCATTTGCTTAAGGCAAATAACAGGATTTCTGTCATCAGGGACAGAAAGTACTGATACACAGATCCTGTTAACCAAGGTCTCTCTGTGGACATGATGTGAATGTGAGTGGGGAAGGCTGTGATGTCAGCTAGGATCTGGGCGCAGAGCATTCCAGACAGGAGGAGGTGTGGATGCAAATCCTGAGGGGGGCAGGGGCAGGGAAAAGGATGGGGCGAGGAAGATGCCCGAAGGGCCAGGACAGAGCTTCGGACCCGAGGCAGAGTGTAGCGGCAACTGAACAGTGAGGCTAGCTGGGGACATTTTCTAAGCCAGCGCCCATCTTATGTGAGTAGTGTGAAAGCAACCCGGAGGGAAACACGGATGGTTTGCAAAGTTGGTGAGAATAATTAATTATATATCCATGTGTAAGACTCTAATTCCTAGGTAAGTGTTATGTGTTCTTGTACAAATAGCAGTTTGCACACTTATTATTTAGCTTTAAAAGATGTTTCCCCCTTGTTTCAGTGTATCCTAGAGGGTAAGCTATTCCTGCATGGTACCACTGCGTCCTAACTGGGTGTCAGGGTCGGTCCTGAGGACTTGGACACTGCCTGGGCCACGTTGCTGATTTTTGCAGCACAGCCTTATGCCATCAGAACGTTGCTTATGGAATATTAAAGAAGGGAATGATTTTGAGTCCTTGGTCATTTGAGCTCCCAGTCCTTCCAGTAAGATTGGCCATATTATTTATGCAAAAGATAAGTTGCTTCTCATGTTTTAAAGTTATACTCATGAGTAGGGAAGGGAGGTGCAGAATCAAAGCGCACTGCAGAATAAGGCCAGTCTGGCCTGCTATTCCAGGCTGCCTCTGGTAGCCTCCTGGGCCCCAGTTTCCTTAGCAGTTTCCTCAGCCAGTGCGTGTTGTATAGGGCACCTGACACCAGTTTCTTCTTCTTTCTGTTTCCTGTTTTCTGAGACAGAGTTGTACTATGTAGCCCAAACTGGCCTTGAACTCTTTGTGATTCTCCTGCTTCAACCTCCTGAGTGCTGGGATTACAGGCTTGCACCACCCTGCCCAGCTGATATGGGATCCTCACCTCAAGATTTGCTCTGTTTTAGTAGACAGCATTAGCTAAATTAGTAGCAAAAGAAAGAAGTTAAGTTCTTTTGATATTCTTTTATTTGTTTAATGCAGTAAGGTAGTGATATCTTAGTTAACCCTCTAATCCTGTAGCAGAAGCCCAGATTTCAGTAAAGTCACTCAGTAGCTATCTAGACACAAACACACTAATTGCAAAATGACAGTGCTTCGGCTGGAATTGCAGGGGTGCCAGCGTCTTTGGGCCACGCTCACAGATCCCCTGGGATCTCTTAGTGTAAACCTTTGTGCAGGACTGTGACATACACAGGCTGGCAACAGTCCTAGGACACTGGCCAGAGACACAAGTCCCGAAAACAGAAACACGAGACTCTGTGACTCAGGGTGAGAGCAGTAGCCAGTGCACTTCTCCGGTTCCGCAGTCCCTGGTCCACACAGTAACGCATGTCTCCACAGGGCATGAGCTGCCTTGCAGGGTAGACCCTGAGTTCAGGGATGTTTCGTGATCTCCGGAGTCTGATGTGACTTCATGGTTCCAGTTGCTCACTACCTGCAACCCTGAGAAATGACCCAGGTGAAAAGTTATCATTCTCTGTACCCATTGCCAGAACAGTTGGGGTCTCGCAGGGTCTTGGGGCCCCAGCAATACAGCGAATCTTGGAGGCTTCAGCTTCTCAAACTGAAGAAGAGGTGCTCACTAATGCACAGGAAAGGCAACTAATTGCTAACGAAACGAGCAGATAGACGAGGCTTTCTGAAGATGAGGAAATGCAGGCGAGTGCTGCAGGGTGGCAGGAGATACTCCCTTCCGACTGAGGAATCATGGGAGAAGACGGCGTTGACCCTGACGGACAGCACAGGGGCAGCAGTGGGTCTGAAGGGCAGGAAGCTGCGCATTCAGGCTCAGACACGCACACATCACACATCCGCCCATTTGGTGTCCAGGTGAGGTGGTAAACAGGCAAGTGCCTGCGGGGTCAGGAGCTTACGGGAAATGTCAGCCTGGGACTCAGTGCACAGCCGACTTCAGAGCCTAAGTGTGGAGGAGATTGTTCGAAGAATGGGTGAAAAAGGAGAGAAGAAAAGAAGGCATCTGAGACCAAATCCTCAAATGCACCAATATTTGATAGTTGGGAATTAAGACCCTGGTGATCCAGGTGTGATGATGCACATCTATAATCCCGGCACTCAGGGAGGCTGAGCCAGGAAGATTCCAGGGGTTCCAGCTCAGCCTGAGCAACCTAGTAATTTAATGGAAGCCTGTCTCAAAAATAAATAAAGACTAGATAAATGACTAAGTAAATAAATAAATAAAACTTTTTTTGTTTATTTCATCAGTACATGCCTGCAATGTATAATGTTTACATTCTTTTTAAATTCCTTAATTCCTCTTTTGTTCATTCCCTTCACTTTCCTGAGTGGGGACATAGCTCAGAGAAAGAGGCCTAGGTTCAATTCCTAGCACTTACAACAAAACTTGAAAGTTGGTAGCCAGGGATTTAGCTCAGCAGCACATGCGCCTGCCTGGCAAGGGTGAAACAATAAAGTTGAAAGCCTCAGTGAGGGAGGAGACAGACCAGATGATGGCAGGAAAGGCGTATCAAGTGAGGGACCCCGAGGCCAAGGGGAGAGCATGCTCAGGAAGGAGAAGGTTCTAGAATCTCCAGCAGAGCAGCTGCTGGCAGAGGGGCAAGTGGAGGATGGAGTGGGCACCTTCCCTGGAGCACTCCTGGGTCAGAGAGCAAGGGTGAGCCCACTGGCTGCTTAGAGGGAGGGGTTGGGGAGTAACTCTGCTAGGTCAGGCAGAGGTGGGAGTGTGGGCAGAGGGGTCCATCAGCCTCAGGACAGGGGAGCCAAGGGCAGCTTCTATGGTCGCCTCTCCCCTCACCAGCTCTCAGATACCTGCTGTGCTTTTGCCTTACATACTCTGGGCTCAGGCTTGTAACAGAAGACAGGACAGCAACAACAGAGACATTTTTAAGGAAAAGGAAACATTTGCATCAACTTTTTCTGGGAATGACCTGCTAGGTCAGCAGGAGACAGCAGACATTTTCTCCCCTCTTGCTTTGTAACTGCTAATTCCAAAATCAAGAGCTCATTCCCCCTCCCCACCCAGGGAAAAAGGGAAGATTGAAAGATGGCATGTTTCAACCAGACTGCAGGTCTCTTCCCTTCTCTTTCTCTTGCATAACCTTAGGGTGGGGAGAAGGTGGAGATTCATGCCACATACATGTGCTGTTATAGGTTATATCTAGAGAGCCCCAGAGCCTCATGGACTCATGGGCAGTGCTTTGGGAGGTGACTGGGTCACGGGGCCACACCGCTCATTGGTGGTCAGTCCATGGACCATGGACGAGGTAGAGCCCATGGGACCCTGGGAGGTGGAGCTGGGCTGGAGGAGTCAGCATCCTCTCTTGCCTGCTCCTCCTTTTGCTCCTTCTGCTTCCTGCTGCCTGTCATGAGCTCTGTCTCCTGCCCTGCCTTGCTGCCCTGGAGCCAGAGGACTATGACCCGAAACTTTTCTTTCAGGGGTGTCAGGTGTCGTGTCTCAGTGACCAGAAAGTAACTGAGACAGCTGGCCTTGTCCTCTGCCCCCATGACAGGCGGATGGAAAAGGGAGGAAAAGGAAAAGGATGGGAGAGAGAGAAAGCAGCATTTATTAAATAATTCCTACAGGGCAAATAATTCAAAGAGAAGGAACCGCTTAGACAAATACTTCTTTATAAGTTTTATCATAAACTTAAACACACTATACTTCTGGACACCTTTGATGGTTTCATGTTTTCTTTTTTTGTGGTTGGATTTTCCTTAGAGAGGGGCTGGCTGTGTAGTTTAGGTTGGAATCACTGTGGCCTGGGTTGGTCTCCAACTCGTGGGGATCCTCCCTCCTGGGGATGCATTGCCTACTTTAAGAACCTTGAATTGATCGTATGAGAAGGCACATGCGCTCCTTGGAGTTGAGCAGGTGTGATCTATTCATTTGGGGCACTCAGATTCTCTGTGGGAAGGGAGAAATCAGCATGAGGGCGGGGCAGGCCTGCATTTCCCAACAGTGGGCACTCCTTTGCTGCTTGCTAAGTGAGTAGTGAAAGGAAACATGGGAAACAGCAGGTTTCCCTGCTAGACCCTCTTGGACAGTCCTGGAAGTTGAGCTGACTTTGTTGACTTTTCCTTGAGCTATTGCTAGATGAGTGGCTTGTGAAATCTCAGGCTCCGCGAAGCCAGCCACCTCTGAAAGCCATGTGTTGACATCCACACTCATTTCCAGAAGTTGAAAATTACAGAACATGTGTTAGCTGGGGAGCTGCTGTGCCCCTCTGTGATCTCTGAGTGCCAGAAGGACACACAGATGGAACTCAAGGTGTGTCTCACACTGTGCTGTCCAGAACTTGTTTGTGCTTCAGAAGTAAGATGGATGTGAAGCTGAAAAATGCTCAGAGTTGTTGACGGAACAAAAGCCAAGACCTTTTAAAGTGTGCGTGCATGTGTGTGTGTGCGTGCATGTGTGTGTGTGCGTGTGAGCTGACATAACCAAAGTTCCTTGCATGGAAAGATGTACACAGCAGGGAACAGACTTTCTCCTCCTCCCCTCCAAGAACCCAGCAGCTCTCTGACCCGAATTTCTTGGCCATAGATGTAGTGGCTGCCAGCACCCCAACACTGAACTCAGCCACCCCCTCCAAACCTACCCGCCCCCACCTCGCCTGCCCACTTTGGTGACACAGTTCTTCATACAGCCACTGGTAGTTGATTTGGTATCTGTGAGTTCCCTCTTATTCTCCTTCCTCTTAAGGTTTCTTGTTGAATTTCCTCTTCAGGATTAGCTTAAAACAAACCTCTTGAGTTCTACTAAGAATTGTTAAGTGTGTTAATGGAATCGTGCCATGTGGCTGCTAGTCAACACAAAATTGTCCTCACAGTATTGTTATTTCATCTAGGAACTATAGTGTCTTTTCAAAACTCAAATTCTTTTAGTACCCTTTGGTTTAGTTTTATAGTTCTCTTCCTAAAGGATTAGTCCATTTATGCCAGGACAATATATATGATATATAGACCTACAGAATATATCTAGTAATCTAGTACATATGTATATCATATATATGGTATCTACCTAATACACTAGCATGGATGTTACTAGAATATATTACACACATGTGTTTTTCATTGTATATTTATTTTACATTCTGAATTCATATCTGGGATGAATTGTGCATGTTGATTTTGTTATTTCTGGTTTTTGTTTTTAATTTCCCTAGGTTTTATTGCTGTGCATTTTTTTTTTTTTTTTTTTTTTTGAGACAGGGGCTCCATTTGTAGCCCAGGCTGACCTGGAACTTGTGGCAGCCCTCCTGCCTCAGCCTCCCAGTAGAGCATCCCTTGGCCACAGAAATCTGTCACTTCCTTGTCGGTACTTAGACATTACCTTCCTCTCTGCTCCCTCCTGTCCAGCCAAGTGGCGGTGGGGCGCACCTTTCCAGGGTGCCTGTCACATTTGGTGGTGCTTTGAAAGGTGTTGCATCCTAAAGTGAGCTGCTCCTCTCCATCCTTGTCCCGCTGCCAGGCAATCTGCTTTTCTCTCCCTGGTTCCCTGAAGAGCTTAGCGTTCCGCCCCCTTCCCGAGCCCATGAGCTCGCCCAGCCTGGCCACTTGCCATTTCCCAGCTGGCCACAGCTGTCCCGAGGATTCCTCCAGCCTCCCCCTGGGTCCGCACAGAGCTTTCTTGCCTCTCCCACCCTCTGCTGCCTACTTCGTGACTGAGTTTGGGGAGCCCTGACTTCACATTAGATTCCAAAGTCCCGGTGCCAGCCTGGACCATTCCCCTCTGTGTTCCCAAAGCCCACGGCCCTCAGCTGTATGCAGTCAAAGCTCAGTGCAAATTGCCTGAACCCAACCCATAAGCAAATGAAAGAACCACTGAAACCTTTTCTGTGAATACTACAAGTAGGCGATTCCTCTGAACTGGATAACCCTTTATTGATTCTTAGAATTAGTTTCTAAATTTCTTCCATCTTTGTGCGTTGTTCTGTGTTGGGATGCAGCCTTCTGAAAGGAGACCAGATATCAGAATGGAAGAAAAAAAATAACACAATGTTACATTTGCAGCCTCAAATGGTGGCGGTAGAATACTTTCCATGCTGGTCATCTATGTTTGGAAGAAGCAGACTTATTCTTTAATCCTTAACTTCATTTTATCAGAAAATTTACTGGCTGTCTTTTCTATTTCCTGGGTAGGGAATTACCATCCGACCACTCGTGGAGTTTCTCGATGTTAAAAGATCCAATAAGAAGCAGCAAGCAGTGAGCGAAGAGATCCACTGTCGGGTAGGTGCAGAGACGCTGAGGGACTTGGAGGCCTGTCCAGCCAGCTGGACACCAGGTAGCTCACTTCGGGAGAAGATAGCAGTGGACACAGCAGAGAGCCCGGCATGGTCTGAGCTTGGAGGAAGGGACAAGGAGGGTTCTGTGCTCGTCAGACTCCTGCAGGAGTCCCAGGAACCGGAGCATTTCTCATCAGTGATAGGATAAACATCTCCATGGGTGTGAAGATGATTGTTTTGTTGCTTCCAGTAAAGCACACAAATAAGAAACAGTGCCGGGGTTGCTAGCATTCTGGCAGGGGATGTGGCGGTGGTGACTGCTTCTGGGTAGGCACTGACCAGTTCACCTGCTTCCTTCTGTTTTCAGTTTTTTGATCATGTGAAGACTGGGATCGAAGACGTCTGTGGGCACTGGGGTCACAACTTCTGGAGAGACAAGTAAGAAGCCGCTGCCGTCGCATCAGGGCGAGGCTGTGGGCCACGCTGTGAGCTGGACATGACACCTTGGGTTACTCTTCAGGCTTCATCTTTGTGCTGTTTCATAGGACATCCCCTAAGATGAGCTCAGCTAGAGCAGAGATAGGAGACGAGAGTAGCTTAAACAAGGTTGTTTCTTGTTTGGGACTGGCCAGAGGGAGGCAATTCCTGAATGTTCCACTCCTCAGAGCCCACAGGGCCTTGGGACACTCTCCCATCAGTCCACCAACAGTGGCTTCCATTTCCCTTTCCTCCAGGCCTCCTGTTGGGCCTCCTGCTGTCCCACTGTTGGCCACTCTAGGATGCAAAAAGGAAGGACAGTAACAGGAAGACAGAGGCCCCGCTTGTTAACTGTCATGCAGGGCTTGCACTCAGGTCACGTGACCATGACCCAGGGTGCACCTCACGGCCAGCGTTGAGGAAGGTGAGCTTCATGTGTAGAGCAGGGCCCCTCACAACCTCCAGCCTCGCCAGCCAAGTGCAGGGGCACTGAATACCTGAGGAAGTTGCTAAGCAGCAGTCATGGACCTGCGTTTGTAAAGACTTCAGTTAGCTGAACTGTTACCTGCACCACACACACAGGCAGGGTCGCATGGATGCTTTGGCATAGGCAGAACCAGAGCGGTGGGACCAGGAGCACAGGTTCCTGTGACAGCAGAGTTTGGGACAGAAGGGACCGGTGCCTGTACCCCCAGTGGGGCCCCTCATAAGGCTCTTCTCCTCCCTTCTTGTACCTAGTGCCACACTGGTGTTGCTGATACCATGGATCCAAGGGCACCACAGGCTCTTTGTTTGGCAGAGCGATCTGTGGGATGAGTCTTTGCAAATCTCCAGCTAAACAAGGCTTTTGTGGGAGGCTGTACTTTAACTGGACACATTCTAGTCCACATCTGGGAGCTCCCCGCTCTTTCTCCTTCCTACCTTGCTGACAGATTTTCCCTATTACTTCTTTATATGAAGTTGGCCAACCTGCCAATCTGTATAATTTAATAGGGGAAATTCCAAGGGATTCTGTTTGCTCCCACGTGCTGGTACAATATTGGGCTACATAAGAATAAGGCACAGACTCAGGCCTCCAACATTTTGCAACCCCACAGAGACAAAACAGTCACATCGTAAACAGGTGTGTGTGTACAGGGGCGGGTGGAGGGATCCTCAAGTCACACAATGAGCTACAAAACTGTCCTGCCAGAGCCACATTTACAGGCTTTACAGTGCTTCTCACTAATGAAAGGCCCTTGGGGCTAAGCCTGATTTTATAAATAAAGGGCGGGTGTTTTGTGTGCAGAGAAAGTACCCAGCTCAGCAACAGAGGGGAGCAAAAAGTAATAACTCTGACTAAAGTCTGCATCCTAAAAATAGAGAAAAGGGCCCCTTTCTCTTGCAGACTCTCCACTGCAGGCCCGCGGGCTGGGGACCACATCTCTCCCTGCCCCCTTCCCCCTGTGCACTCAGGCAGGCTTTCCCTTTCTCTGGAATCCCATGGGGACTTTCCTGAAGGGACCTGTATGTAACCAGAGCAGCCTGGCTACCTCCCAGAAGTTTGGGTGGAGGCCTCCTCCACTACCTGCATCCACACAGTTCTTCTGCCTCCCAAACAGGGCAGGAAACAGATCTGAGTGGGCACTGTGGGGAGGAGGGCGAGGGGATCACTTGCAGTGTGTGGGTGTCAGAGCAGAACGGCAGATACCTGGCTCTGTCCTTCCCACAGATGCTCTCTCTGGGCCCCAGATCTGCTCCAGGAAGTCAGCTCGAGGCATGCGAAGGGCTGCTGGCCTCCTGGCCTGCTGTCCTCCAAGAGGCTGTGTTGTTTTGTGTCTAAGATCTTTCTCAGCAGCAAATGTAGTTTGTTTGATAAGTTTTGTGAGCACCCATAGATTTCCACACCCAATTATTTCCAGGTAAATTTCAAATAATTTCCTGGATTTCCCCATGCACTGGCTATCACAGGTAGAATAAAGAAAGTGAGCCTATTTTTTAAAAAATGTTCATTTGCTCAGATCATATCTCTGATGTGTACATAGTTGCTGATGTCACTAAAAATTACAAAAAGAAGGGACTGTTTTAGGCATGTGAGGTATCTTTCCTCTTCTTCCACCTTCCTTTTGCTGTAGATTTCCACTGATCCTGGCAAAGAATTCTTGAGACATTTGAGTCTTTGGGAATGTAAGGAAAGCGTGATATAGTACAGACATTTCTCCAGCTCAGCCAGAGGAGTCTGATGATGGTGAAAGAGAATCCCTGTGTGTGGCTTGTCAGAGAAATGAAAGGGATAACAAGAAAGCAAAGAAAGGAAACACACGGTCCCTCCGCAGAGTGGACAGAGGCCATTGTCCTGGGTGTTTGTCCTTTCTATTACCAATCTTTAATGAGTGGCTGCAACAGGAATAACAATACAAGAAGCTAAAGAAGATGTGGCATCCCTGGGTGGGGGGAATCTTGGCCCCATGGACCTAATAAGAAATGGAAAATAAACATAGGAAACAGTAGGCCCAGTCTTTGGCCTGGGGACCATTGGATAGCAGGGTGCACTCTGAGTGGCTCTCTGTGAATTATTCAGAGCCCTCTAGCACGTAGAGTGAAGGACGGGTGCCAAGAACGCAGGTGAACATTAGTTCCTTTGATAGCACACGGTGCCTGTAAACATTCGGGAGTTTACAGTCATTGCCGTGGACACTTACTTCATTCTCAACAAACAGCGACGGCGGGCTCTCTCCTTTATAGGAGAATGCAAGAATGTTGCTTAATGAACCCTTGCAAAACCCAGCTGCTCACCATGGTAGTCATTCAGGCTGGCAGGCTGTGAGTTAAGAGGTCTTCGGTCAGCTGGGCTGAGGGCTGCCTGGTGGTCACTGGGCTCTGGCAGGGCTTGTAGGGTGTCGTGACTTCTGTCTTGTGATGTTTTCTTTCTTCCATGCTACTCCGTGCCTGGCCTGGCATGATGTCAGTGGGAGCCCAAGACTCAGGCTCCAGTGTGCAAGCCTGTGCCTGTGTGAGACCTGCTCTTCTGTCATCCTGTCTGTTGGTGGCCCATTGATCAAAACAAACAGTGGCATTGGGCTCAGTGCTGGGGAAGGGTAGAGCCGGGCACCAAGGCCATGGTGGGTGGACCTTGCCAGGTGACATGGCGGGAGCTGTTGGGCCCAAATGGCCCATGCTTGTGGTATGCCAAGCACTGTTTTGTAGTACGGATCCCACATTCCTAGGGCTAGGAGAGGCAGATGGTTTAAGTAGGTGAACTGCCTGCTGTGCTGGAGGGTGATAACTGGGAGGGGAGGTCAAGAGTGAGGTCTGGGATTCTGATGAGGACAGGAAAGGCCCCCTGTAGGAGATCACTGTTGAGGAAGGACCTAAAGTTGAAGTGTGAACCATCCTGCAGGTACTGGGAAGAACATTCCTAGTGTTCCCCCAGAACCTAGGGGAAGTGTCTCAGACAGGAAGTCCCCGAGGCGGGGAGGGAGGCTGCCAGTGAGGATGAGCAACTCAGGGTGACCAGTGCAGATCACACTGGCACAGCCCCTGGAGGTCACCAGGCTTCTTCCTGACTCGGAAGCATGCAGATACCTCCTTCTGTGGCACCTGGCTGCCATGGGGATGGGACGGTGACGAGGTACTGTCCCAGGCAAGAGGGTGAAATGGACAATGACAATGGCCTCAGAGCTGGTGAGAAATGGTTGGATTCTGTGTGTATGTTGATGGTTAGGACAGAGATTGCCACAAGGGTGTGCATGGCATAGCCATCTACTAGGGCTGCCATGACGGGGCACCACACGTCCTAAGCCTAACCTGGGCTTCAACCATAGAAACCGTCTGGCAGTGCTGGGGGCTGGAAGCCAGGGAGGAAGAGGTCAGTGGGGTCAGGTCCTTCACGGGCTGGAGGGTGGGGGCACTCCAGGGTTGCCTATCTTCTCCCCAACTCTGCATGCTGACTTCCCTCTGTGAATGGCTGTGTCCAAGTGACCACTTCTGAGCCCTTTGGACGAGTGTCCACCCTCATGACTTAATCTCATTTAATTATGCTTATAAAGACCTTCCCACCAGACGTAGTCACACATTCTGATGTTCTAAGGATTAGGAATTGATCACATACATGAATTTGTGGTTGGTGGGGCACAGTTCAGCCCATAACATAGACCATAGGAGCACTGAAGATGGTGCCTAGAAAAGCTGTGATTCGCTGAGAAGGGGAGGGTGGAGGAGAACCATCCAGTGTGGATGCATTGAGGCTGAGATGCCTGTGAGAAGCCTGTGGAGATGCTGAGCAGCCAGTGCAATGTTCCTTGTCTGGGCTTGGGGGCGAAGGTGGAGCTGGGGAAACACATTTGGGTGTCCCTGATGGAGAGACGCTGTGAAAAGCCAGAGACTGGGAAAGGAGACCCGGGAGAGTGCAGGTGGGGAAGAGGGCCTAGCACTGGTCCCATAGTGCTGCTGTGTTCAGAGGTCAGAGAAAAAGGAGCTGGTGAGGAAGGGCATGGGGGCCTTGTGGAGCAGGGCCTCCTGGAAAGCCGCAAAGACTTGAGTGTTGAGCAGTATTGAGCAGACAGAGCCAAGAAGATAAGGACTGGTGCTGGCCGGGTGTTGTGGGTCCTTTGAGAGCAGTTTCAGTGGAGCCCTGGAGGCAAAAGCCGGAGCTGCGAATGTTCAGGAGCCGTAGGAGAACTGGGTCCAACAAGTACTGACAGCCTGTAATTTTGCTGAAAGAGGAAGGAGAAAAATGGTAAATATAACCAATGAATGCTAATATATGCATGCTATGGTCATATTAAAAAGCATCAGAATGTACGTGTATATCCATAGGTGTATTTCATACATGTAAAGTATTTGGATTTATGCACATATAAAAATATACATTATGATCAGACCGGCTAACTGCAGCTACTAAGTTTTACCTGGGGGAGGCTTTTTGAGTTGTTTTTTAGTCAGTGCAATATTCAGTCATGGGAAGTGCAGCTTTCTTTATTTTGTAGGTTTAAGAAATTTGATGACAAGTATCTTCGGAAGCTTTTGATTCGGGAAAACCAGCCCAAGTCAAGCATCGTGTCTTTGTATAAAAAGCTTGAAATCAAACACGCCATTGAGATGGCAGAGACTGGGATGATAAGCACAGTCCCTTCCTTTGCATCCCTAACGTGAGTACGGTTTTTGCCAAGAAAAATTAGTACTTCTCAGCATGCATTGGGAATTCTTTGAAACCAGAGATAATGAAACATTAAGCCACCTCCTGGACAGATCCTTACCATCTCCCAGTAGAATGAGAGTCTAGATGAAATCGAACCACATAGAAATGAGTGTCCTATGTTATCCTGGTTTAGAACTGACCAATCAGAATGTATTCTGTTATGTTTACAATATTTGTGCCTTTATTACATTTGCTTTGGCAAATTCAGTGTTTACTGGAAGTAAGTTAAAGTCCCTTAGCCCGTGCTGTGAAATGGCCTATTTAGGTTGTGTTATCCTTGGTACTATAAACGTGAATGTGCTAATAGAGCTGTTTCCTCTTAGATTATTCACAGGCTCACGGCTGAAGTTGTGGGAGGGATAAGAATGACAGGGAAAACCCAAAATGTATAATAGTCATTGTACAAAAGAGAGGAAAAGAAAGTGCTCTAAACGATATAACTGCATGTATATTTAAGTGTATAAGATAGACAATGATATTACTGAGTTTTGTTGGATCACTGAACAGAACTGTTTGCAGTCTCACTGTTTGAATGTCCACTTTATATGCTTTAATTTTGTAACTTGAATAAATATTTCTAAGATGACAATATGTAATCCATTAACTAGTGATTTCCTACTGTTTATTTTTTTCTGAAATTTTGTATAACTTGTACCCTTTTTCTGCTTTTTTTCTTTTTGTCCTTAAATAAAATTTAAAAAAAAAGAATGACAGGGACATGAACACAGGGGTCACAGTATAGCTGGCACATTGGAAAATTCCAGGATTGTTTAGATAACGCAGGTGCCCGGCCCCACTCCACACCATTGGGTCAGAATCTTTGGTGCTGAATCCCAGACATATTTTAAAGTTGTTCACATGTTTCTAATATGCAGCCAGGACTGAGATCCATTGGCCAGGTCTGTCTCTCTAATTTTATAAAAGAGGAAGTGAGACCAGAATGGTGCAGAGACCTTCCCAAAGTCTTACAGCCATCAGTAGCCAAACGGCCAGCACAGTCTTGAGAGTCTTCATCAATGTAGCAATGAGAGTCTTCATCATGTAGATGTCAGTCCTTCTCTGTTACAGAGGTGACAGAAACCACAGGTTTCCAAGGAGTTCTTTCTATGGATGAGCTAGAGGCTCATTTACTCTAAATTTTACATGATCAACATTTGATGATGAGGAAGCTGAAGCACTGTGAGAGGAGGAAATTTCACATGTCCAACCCTACAAACTGATTTTTACTGGGACTCTAAGGCTGTGAGCTTACACAGTCTGGGAGCCTGAGAGGTGAACACATCACACAGCCCTGGAGAGGCAGCGGGCTGAGCTCTGGCATGATGACCCCTGGTCCCCGCTCTGCGGTTACCTTGCTGCCTGGTCCTTCTTCCTCCCTGAGTTGGAGCATCTTCAGCCAAAGACAGACGGGTGCAGACTCGGTGGTCAAGGTTCCCTCTGCTTTAAAATGTCTGCTTTCTCTTATGTGTGACTCCATTTCCAGTTAGAGTAAGGGGCAACTCAGAAATCCAGTTTTCAAAGGAAATCCATGACTTCTATGGCCTCAGTTTTGCTCTCTTTATGGTTCATTTTGAAGCAGGTAGTAAGCAGAGTAGAAGAGAATGTTTAGAGTTGGGGGTAGAGTGAAAAAAAAGAAAAGAAAAGAAAGAAAAATGGGGGCTGGGGATTTAGCTCAGCTGCGTAAGCGCCTGCCTTGTAAGCAGGCAGTCGTGAGTTCGATCCCCGGTACCGATAAAAAGGAAAAAGACAAGAAAGAAAGATAGAAAGAAAGAAAGAAAGAAAGAAGGAAGGAAGGAAGGAAGGAAGGAAGGAAGGAAGGAAGGAAAGAAAGAAAGAAAGACGACTCTTTGCATAGTTAGGGAAATGAGTACCATCTTGACCATTTACCTTTGCTGAAATCCTTTCTGTAAAGCGAAGTGAGAAGCAGGTCGGGAGGTAATAAGGAGGGAGATTTCTGGAAGTGTTGTAATGAATGAGTGTGCTGGGAGGTGGTCAGTACAGTGCAGCCGCTGATTTCATGGCCAGGAGACAAGAGAACTTAGACGTCCAAGTACATGGGACAGGCCAGTGGGGCCACGCTCCTCTGAAGCTGTCCATCAGCCACAGAGAAGGAAACTGAGAGTTTAAGAGATAAATAGGTGTCTGACAGACTGATTGATTCTGGAAAGTAAGACTGGAACTCAGGGCCTGCTAGGCAGGAGGAGCTCCTCTATGTAGCCGGAGATCCCTGCTTCCTGCCCTTCGCTTCACCCTCGAAGGAAGGGAGTCTGGCCCAAAACTGTCTTCATCCCCGGCTGTCAAAATCATCAAAGGTTGCTGTTAAGGTAGCTCAGATACTCCGGGGTGTATTTTAAACAATACCTATACCTAAGAAGATACTTACAAAAATTATACCAGCAATTGAGATTAAGGGAAAATGAACCACCTCAGTTTAGAGACCTGTGTGTGCTGAACTCTGCAGTCCTTTGTCCATTACCATTTATTTACTGCTGTGTTTGATTTACAGTAATGATTGAGTTTACATTATACCACATTGTGCCACGGCACATGTTCTGTAAGACATGTATTGTGCATATCAAGTTTCTCTACTTTATTTTCTTAATTTTATGTATTTTTATGCTGCCCTATGTTCTTATATGTGCCTTCAAGGCTTTTTAGAAGAAATTAGAGTATAAAACATACAAATAGCCAATTCTCCTTATTCATGGTAGTGATCATGGCTCTGGGAAGCCTGTAGCCTGGGGACACTGGGGGTCTCTGGTCACAAAGGTTTCATCAGCCAATTGGTATTTAAGTCTGCTTTATTCACATCTGGGTTTTAAGACATCTTATTTAGTGTCTGTACAGTACATGTAGTACATTTGTATAAATGCATAATTTATACAGATAAGTAATATACATATGATTATTTCACTAACACTGAACTCGCGGTCAACAGCATTGTACCTCACAAGTGGACAAAGTGTGTGTGGCACATATTTCCTCCACAACACACCTGTGTTGGGGACGCCAGGTGACACTTTAGCCCTGTGCTTGGGACCATTTTAAACAATGAAATTACCAGCAAGAAGCAGAACAGAAAAGGAAGAGGAAAACATCCCAGCGAGCCTGTGAGAAGGATTCTAGCCCCAGCGTGGGAAGAGGAAGAAAGCAGAACGTTGCCTTGCTCGGCCTGGGGGGACACATGTGCTGAGCGGCTCGGAGGTTCTGCCCTGTGTGCCTGAGAGCCAGTAGAGCTCCCCAAATGTAGGTGCCAGGCTAACCCATCCGTTCACACATGTAGAACCCCCAATTGAAGGACTGCATATATTTGCATATGAAGCAGATGTTTGCCAATATTTAAATGAAGTACTTAAAACATAGATCTTTAGTGAAAATGCAGGTCATTAGGTTTCTGCTGTGAAGAACAATTCTGTGTCACATTAACTGTCGTGCTGTGAAGAACAATTCTGTGTCACATTAACTGTCGTGGTAGGAATAACAGACACAATAGTGTAAACTATTACATATGACTTCTTCCTTAAAACGTGGTGGAGTGAACAGGCCTTGTTTGAAAGCTTGTGCATGATTACATGGAGTTTGTATGTGATTCGTTGCATGAATAATTTTGACAGTAAAATAATTTCCAGAATGTTTCATTATTTGAAAACTGAGAAATTTTAAGAATGTAAAGCATTTAAAAATATTTTGAGATTTTGGATTATTCCCCAGTGCTATTTTTTAAACAAAAATTCTCCTTTTTGGATGGTGGTATTGTTGTTGCTAAGAAAGAAACTTAGTGTTTCTAATACTAGGGAAAAGGTGAAATACCCTCAGGGGAAAGGTGAAATATCCTCTTCTCCAAATTTTCACAGTGATTGCCGTGAAGAAAAATTACGGAAGCTCACACCCGGCGAGATGGATGAAATTCGCGACATATTATCAAGGAATCTCTATCAAATCCGTCAGCGAGTGAGAAGAATTTATTTACTAAAACATTCGCTTCTCTTTTGCTAAAAATGTGCTTTTTGGCTTTGCGCTGCCCCCCGAGCCCTGTTACTCTGCTACCTTGGTGGGTGCTATGTTGGCCCCTCCTCTGCAGCGCCTTCCACGGCCCCCCATGTGTCCGCAGTACCCCACGCAGCAGAGACAGAGCCTAAAGCCTTGGTGCAGTGCACTTGCTTGCGGGTGGAAATATGCCTTAGCCGGCGGTGAACAAAGGGAGTGTTTGCTTTTTGAAGGAAATACAGCACAGACTGTTCAAGTGCGTGGATCCTTGCAGTGCTCACACAAGGCACAGTGGCTTCCTCTCCCGCTCTTCCGATCCAACCCCTTCCTTCCTGTGGGTACATGGCTTGCATTGGGTACATGGCTTTTCATGGTGAGCTCCTTAATGTCACCACAGCTCAGAACTAGCCGTTTCCCAGGCTCTCATTTTCTCACTGAATCCTTTGGCAAGTAGTAGGCATCACTATTGGCACCATTTCCAGGATGAAGAAACTGAGGCACCCAGAGGTAAAGTGGCACCTCAGGGGCACGCAGCTTTCCATGGTGGCTTCCTTCCTACTGGACTTTGGAGTCTGAAGCTTCCTAACTGGTCTCCCTGCCAGTTGCTCCCATCCTCCCCTTATCCTGCCTCTGCCGCTTCTCTGAAGCATCCTCAGAAGGCAGCACACTCTTGTTTAGGATAATGCAACAGACAGGGGTGCCCTCTGGGCTAAATTCTTCTGGCAGAGTTTGGTCCTATGTCTGACCTCTAAGTCATCCACATGGCCCAGGCCCTTGGAGCCCAGGTGTGGTTTGTTCTCAGTCCTCGGTCATCTCTCTGTCTCTCTCTGGAGCAGGTCATGACTTCAGGTCAGCTTTGTCAGCTGCTGGTGTATCACCTAGTCCACTTTTTTAGTTTTCCTCAGCAACCACCCTATTATCCCCACCACATCCTTAAATGAGCTCTCATGTGGCACTTACAGGATCCTCCATTTCATGATTTTGGTTTACTTTGGTGGCCTTCAATGCCTGACTCACACCTCTGGCAGGGATCGGGCCTTGTGCTGTGTCCCTCTGCCTGGTCACAGGGACATTCCTGCAAAATGCATGCCAGTTCCACCACAGAATGGTAACTGTGGAAGGAAAAATGATTCTGCATGCCTTATTAGCATGGGTGCCAGGTGCAGCCCAACTTAGAAATTCTCTTCCACCCTGGGATGTGATTCTCCTGTGGGTGGCAGCAGTTTCTCTGTGTGACAGCCCAGCTGGAACAAGGTCCAGCGCTGGAGCCAATCTAAGGGACATGGCACCCCCAAGTGGCTCATGGTGGTTTGTTTTGTGTCAGTAATTTCTGCTTATGGAGAACAGAGAATTAGAAAGGTGTTTTGTAGTTTTTCTAGTGATCGATGATGGCTTAAATACACACATGGTGACACTGGATGAATTCGGTCATGGTTTTAAATTTATGATAAACACACTTTTCAGCAGAAAAACAGAAACTGAGTTTTATGAAAAGGTGAATTCTTTCAAAATTGGAAAATATTAGCTGCTACATTCTTCACTTTAACTTTGTTCCTCGCTACTGGAGTTTGAAGGCACCGGCTGAGGTGGGAATCCAAAGACCCGTGGTGGAGACTGGGGTTTCTGCGGAAAGGGTCACGCTGTGGGTGAAAGGTCCCCTGTGTGTCTCTGTTTCAGACGCTGTCCTACAACAGACACAATCTGACGGCCGACACGAGCGAGAGGCAGGCCAAGGAGATTCTGATCCGCCGGCGGCACAGCTTGCGGGAGAGCATCCGGAAGGACAGCAGCCTGAAGCGTGACCGAAGGGTACGGGCTCATCTGCTGTGTGCCCCAGCGCGTCCTGGCCTCTGCTGACCCAGTGACTGCTGGAGCTGGGTGCTGGGGATTCTGGGATGAAACTTGTAACATCCTCATTTCACTGTGAATGCTGACCTAGTACCTGTGATCCCAGCCCCCAGAAGGATCCCTTGAGCCCAGGAGTTCAAGGCCTCCCTGGGACTCAGAGCTAGACCCCTATCTCCATAAAAACGGCAAAGAATCGTGAAGCCTTTTCTAATGCTTCTCGAATGCCTGTTGTGTTCCATCTAGTGCTCTTTCGTGGGCACCTGGAACACACTGGAGAATAGCATTTTAAAAGATTCCTAGGCTGGCTGGCGTGGGATTTCTATTCCAGTAGGGGAGAAGGCTTCCAAGAATAGAACCTAAATTATTTATTTTGATCAAGGTAATAATTGCTATCCCCCCCACACACACACACTAACAGGAAAGAAGGAAGGCGGTAGTTGCTAGTGCAGGAAAGAGACAGTGAAATTATGATTTTAGTCAGGAGGCGTGGGCCCGGCTCCCACCACTGGGAAGTGGTACAGGCCTGTGTTGTATAACTTGGGGAGGAACCTGTTTTGAGAAATGGATTGCTAGGTGATTTTGTTGTGAGATATTACACACAATATTGAGTGCAGGTTTGCTAGCTGAGATCATTGAAGGGGACCCCATTACGTACCAGCATGTTCTGATGCAGCTCATGACCATCTGTGCCATCTAGCTGGGGCAGGGGTGGCAGCAGGTAGAGGTGAACAGGTCTACATGTTCTCCAGGGGCCCTGCAGGAAGCCCAGAGCACCTGGGAGATGAGGGATTGTAAGCAAATCCATGAGCTGGTCCAGAATCTTGTCAGAGATATGGAGAGTGATTTAAAACAGTGCCTTGATTTCCTGTTGTACCATGTAAACTGTGGCATGTTAACACGCACACAGGGTCACAGGGTTCAAGACAATCGTATGTGAATAATTATTTTTTTAAGCACATAAAATGTAGCACTGTCACAAGTTAACCCCAGAAACCAAAGACTGTAAAGTCTGTGGTATCCAGAATGTCAGCAAATTTCTAGTAGTTTTTGTTGTTCCATCATTTTCAAGAGGTGTTAAAGTGAGGTGTGCTGTGTTCTTTCTATCTCCTTTCTCTTCCATGTGGATGCTAAGTCTTTCTAGAAATTCTTTTGTAAATGGATGTTTCAATAGCTTTTCTTTAAGGGCTGGGATGGTCACAGCTGCTTGTGATGGTCTGTTTAGTGACCTTCCTGTTGGAACAGAATACCTGGCACCCATGAGTTAAAGGAGGAAAGGTTTACTTTGGCTTTATAAAGGTTTACTTTACAGGGGCTTCAGCCCATGGTTGCTGGCTCCAAGACAGCAGTGTGGCAGAGTATGCAGGATGTAGCAGGCAGCCTTCCTCTGTCCCTTTATATCCCATCCAGGCTACCAGCCTGCTGCCACTGGCACCCAGCGTGGGGCTCCTGTAACACACACACAGAGCTATGCTAAACCCCTTTAGTTACCACACATCCTGAATCCCAGCATCACACACCCTAGAGCAAATCACATCCGAAAGGCCCTACCTATGAGTGCAGGAGGCTTTGGGGGACATCTAGACACATGCCATAACACGGTCCCATTTATTTTCTTCTGTAGTATGGATCTCCACCAGAAGACATTAGTTATTTTGGGTATAATGGTGATAGCACTTTGCAAAGTAGTTTGGGAGTGATGAAGAACTAGAATCCTATTTTAAGGCCAAGTATTATAAAATTTTCAACTCCTCATGTACAATAAGTGCCATTTATATAATCTAAGTCAGGTTGTCTACTTATTTTTTTACAGGCTTCCTCATCAACTTCCAGATATTTATCTTTACCTAAAAATACAAAGCTTCCAGAAAAGCTACAAAAGAAAAAGAACATTTCTAATGCAGGTAATGAATGTACTCGGGGTAGAAAAACTTTAGATGTATCTAAAATAGGAAAGTTTTCCTATTGTTTTTCTTCATCAAGGAAGAGTTCAATAGCTCACAATATAAAATAACAACATGATGATCTTTCATTAACAAAGTGATCTTTTTAAATGATGTTCTTTGCGAATTACAAATAATCCAGTCATTTATCTTCCATAACGATTCTTTGATATAGCAAAAACAAATACCATTGCCATGGGGTTATTAAGTGGGTAAATAGAGTGTTCTGAGTCTGAAAATGTGTAAATCTTTAGAGTTATACAGTCATGCTAATATATTTTCATAGAGTCAACCATAGATTTTACTTCTGACTGTCCAATTATTTCAGCTTTGTTTCTGAGTTAATCTCTCTGAGGTCTTTTTCATGGCGACAGCCAACCTCTTCACTGTGAATTCCGGGGAACTATCCAAGGGTCCTGGGTGGTTAACATGGGTGATGAGAACATCCCTTATATCCCTTAGTTGCTCATCCTGTTTATTTACTGAATTAACTAAGAAAGGAGAAGGCTGAGGGCTACTGGTAACAATGGGAGGCAATGGAGGCAGGAGAGGACAGGGAGAAAAGGCTGTGCTAAGGATTTGTAATCCTGGCCATGTTCCTGCCGTGTACCCTGCAAATAAGTTCACAGTTCCTGCAAATCTCAGTTCCAGGGGGACTAGGTACAGTGTCCAGCATCTGAGGCTAGCGGGGCCCCACCTAGGTTTGCAAAGTGCACACTAGAGTTTTGGTCTTTCTGTGGAAATGCAAAGGAAATCTGCCAAGTCACATTTGAGATTCCAGATGGGGCAGGTGATGAGCAGAGGCTTACTGTGCACCAGGCTGGATTACAGCTCTACCCCTGCTGACATCTTTTGACCCTCATTACCCAACTGTAAAACGGGCAATTGTGAGGATTAAAAGAGCAAATGCATTTCAAGGTGTTCAGGGAAGCACTTGGCACACGGTAACCCCCCCCCCCCACGGGGGCCTGAATGCTCTCAGAGGTGACACGAGATACCCTGGGTACCTCAGCTGGGGTTGGAGTGGGCCCTGTGATCTCACTGTCCCCAGAGCCTGGGGACGCAGCAGTCATGTGGCCCACTGAGGCACAGAAGGCCCTTGTAACACCTGCTCTCTGAACCGCTCACCCACTCTGTCCTTCTGCTCTGTGACAGATGGCAGCAGCAGCGACTCAGACCCAGATGCAGGGACCACTGTGCTCAACCTGCAGCCCCGAGCCAGGCGCTTTTTGCCAGAACAGTTCTCCAAGAGGCTGCCCCAAGCCTACAAGATGGAGTGGAAGAATGAAGTGAATGTGGATACCGGCCGAGCGCAGCCCAGCAGCCCCCCAACACCCAGCAGCAAGGACGGGGGCACCCAGACTCCGGGCGTCCTCCGGCAGCCCCTTCTTTCCAAAGAGCAGCCTGGTCGGGGCAGGGACGACAGTTTGACGGGAGACACTGTGCCCAGGCCACCACCCAGGCTGGTCCGGAGGGCATCAGAGCCTGGGAACCAGAAAGCTCGGTTTGGGGGGAGTGAGAAGCCTTAAAGGGAATGGCCAAAGCAGATCTGGGGGGACACACCCGGCGAGGCTCCGGTTTGTCACCCCGGACACCAAAGCAACCCTGGAGTCTGTTTAAAAACCTCTATCGAAATGCTTTTTTCAGGTGGCAGAGCCAAGCCAGCAATTCATGGGATGAATATCCCAAGAAGAGGAAAGTCAAAGGAAAAAGTCCCACAAAGTCTTCGTGACTCATGTATTCTTTTCAGCCTAAAGAAAAAAATGTGTGCCTTCATTGAACTTGAATGACAGAACTTGAAATTTTTATCACACACTTGTTAGTGAAGATGTTAATATATTACATATATGCCTCAAATCTTATTTATGAAAAAATGTGTATGTCTGTAGTGGGTTTGTTTTTAAGAGAATGGCACTAGAGAGAACATCTTTCCCGGGGTGGATACCAGGGCAATGCAGGGCTCTTTCCTTGTCCCAAGCTAATGGGCCAAGTGATGAAGGAGGAACACAGGCCAAAAAAGGGACATCTCAGGACGCGGCTGGGTGCAGGAGCAGGCCGAGCGGCAGATAGTGGCAGCTCTTGGTCGGGTGTGGGCTAGAATCCCTGCACTGCTGTAAATTCGTTCCTCTTGTCTGTCTCGAGTGTGGGTGCCACAGAAGTTCCGACTCTCATTCTTCTTAGGTGGTGGAAGGAGAAAGGCTGCCCAGCTCAGTCACCTTGCAGGGTTTGACAGGCTGGGTGGCAGCTGTGGCAAAGCCATAGGCCTGTGTGTGGCAGTGTCTCGTGGCCCCTGGGGAGTTGGGCAGCACCTGTCAGCCATGGTTGGTGAGTGTAGCTCTGGCACTGTAGGGAGGAGGATGAGGGTGACTCCTTTCATACCCATCTGTGCCCACCTGCTCTAGCAGAATTTTCCTGTAGAGCATTCTAGAACTGCACGCAGGTCAGCACCACCAGGTGGATGAGGATGGGACTTTATATGGACCTTATTCCAATGTGTGACACATTGGCCACATTCCGGGTTTTGGTTTTTAATCAGGGAGCACTTTAGAGAATGCAGGAGTCCTAATTTTTTTTTTTTTGCACTAGTCTGTAATTTGTTACCTCTTCACTTTCAATAATGTAATGACTCAAATTCTTCATATGAAATTGGATTCTACTTACGAGAGTACTTTTTAGAACACTGCAGAAAGAAGTGGAACATAATCATTAAAGATTAACGTTTAAGTCTTTGGCTTTTAAACTGTAGATTTTATTGATCTGTTTTTTCTTTCTGAATAATCTTTCTTTAAAACTTGCCAGAACAAGGACTCCTAATCTTGTGGGTTTAGGTGTTAAATGAGGCCCTTGGTGCCCATCGGAAGTGTTAGAAGTGCTCAAAGGGTTCTGGGGAGCAGACAGAGTGACAGGGGAGAGGGAGGGATAGAGACAGACAGCCTTTGGCAGTGGACCTCCCACCCTGTTGTGGTTCATCAGCATGGAGGAGCATCTTCTTCATCTCTAAAGTCTTGGACCCTGCTGGGTGAGCAGCATGCAACAGATGGATGAACAGATTCAAGTTCAGTTTCTTTCCCAAGCTCATCAGCGGAAATCAGAACTCTATAAACTTATGACTCTGCTAGAGACCTCCATTTTAAGTGAAAATATTTACGTGAAAATATAGATTCCTTTTGCTGAAAAGAAATTGAAGTTGATCTAGAATTACACTACAGAAATAGAATTGATCACTGGGCGTGGTGGCTCATGCCTGTAATCCCAGCACTCAGGAGGCTGAGACAGGAGGATCGTTGCGAGTTCAAGACCAGCCTGGGCTACAAAGTGAGCTCAAGGACAGCCTGAACTGCATAGCAAGACCCTGTCTCAAAAAGAAAGAAAAAGAAATAGAATTGATCAAGAGATGCGATGTCTATTTTTGACAATGCCAAGAGTAAGTTTTCAGGAGAGTCATGAATTATGAAATTGGAAAAGAAAAAACTAAAAATGACCTTAAAATCAATTGTCCTGGGGTTTTTTATATAAATAAATATGATAGTAAGTTTAACTTTCTGGAACCAAAGAAGAAATGAGAATTTTTGTAGCACATTTTGTTAACCTGGTAGACCTAATTCAGATTTTCTGAGGGTCACATACAGAATTTGAATGGCAATGTATATGGTTTTGAAAAGGAGCACTGAAGTCATTATATTTTAATTATTATTGGTTTCAATTTTTATTATTTGTTGGCTGGCAAAGGCAATAAAAATAAACTTGCTTTAGCTTTTTTGTATACTTTGTTCTTTTGGTAAATACTTGTCACTATAAAAAAAGTGACAATCTAAGAAAAAACAGTGAGTATCTTTAAAAGCCGTAACAGTTGGAATTTCTATAGTCTAGAAAGCGCCTAGATCCCTTTCAAATGACTCACTTAGTTCCAAAAACACCTGATCCAATGAAGTTCTGGCATGGCAGTGGCCTTTTGATGAATCTTCCCTGGATGCTGTAAAACAGTTGATTTGAAAGTGAAAAGTCAGGGTTCAAAGCTTTATACAGAAAGGGCAGGGCTAGCTGTGGGGAACAATTTTTCCAGTCTGCAAACTTCTACACATTGGTGCCAAAACTGCTCTAAAATATGCATCTGAATATAGGTCCCCACAAAATGAGAGGGATGAAACTTCTTAACAGCTTTTGCTAATCCTTGTTGCAGGGTGGAAATGGGGGGTGCAGAGTTTTGCTGGGAAGTAGGCTGTTCATTTCTAAAAGTGTAGAGAAGCAGAGTCGGTTTGTATTTGTGATCCTGCCTGTGAATCGTGTTTATGTTAAAACTGGCATTTCCTTACCAGTTACCAGCCCATACCATCTGCTGCTTGCTCGAAGTTCACGATGGACTTGACTCTTGAGAGATCAATTAAAAATATTATCTGTCCAGAGTCAGCACCTGTTGGGGTTCTCTGCAGGTGCCTGACCACCTTGATCATGGGTTCTTGGGCCCTCTGCAGGGATCAAGCTCTGCGGATTTGTAAGTCCTCTGCATAAAAGTGGTGTTTACATCATGCCTACACATCTTCCTGTGGACATCAAGCCATTGCTATGTGGTTTATAGAACCTGAAACAATGTGAGGGCTACACCCACCGATGCTCTACCCCTTGGCTTTAGGGAATAATGGCAGCTCTGCAATGTTCACTACAGAGGGAATTCTTTTTAAGAATATTTTTGACATGGTTTGTTGAATCTGTGGCCACACAGGAGCATGTACCTCTGGAGGACGGGCTGTACTCTGATGCTTTTGCTACCTGGCAGGAAAGCTTATGACCCAGAGACACACTGGGGACCAGTGACCTCTTCACTTCCAGAACCACGTGTATCACTCCTTGCCATTTCCTGTCCTCCTTTCTAATCAGGCCCTGGCTTCAGCCTCTGTAAGGACAGTGGGAGCCACTTGGTCACATGACTCTAACCTTAGCTCTGGCAAATGACACATTCTGTATTAGCTTTCTCACTGCTGGAACAAAACATGGCGTCCACAATGTAAGAGGCAAGGTTTATTTGGTGTATACACTGATTCTGAGGAGTCAGTCTGTGGCTGGCTGACTCCAAGGCAGAAACGGCATGGTAGAAGGGCCTGGCGGAGGAAAGCTGCTCAGTCTACAGCGGCCAGGAAGTGAGAATGCAAGAGCAGAAGCAAGACACACACCTTCCAGGTCACTGCTCAGACACCCACCTCCTCCAGCCAGCCCCACCCCACAACACGCTCTGCTGTACACTCATCAGCTGATCAACCCACCGAAGGGTACAATGCCCCAAGATCCACTCACCTTCCGAAAGGCCCACGTCTGAACAGGAGACGCCCAGGAAACATTTCAGATCCTAACCCCAACCCTCAGAATTTCTCATGCCACCCATTCCATACCCGATACCTTCGGCAGGGACTCAGCCGCCTTAGAGATGCAAGACAAATGCCCAGATGGGTGGTTTGAAACATTTGTGTAATGCTAGCTCATCAGATTTTGATCTCTCTTGCTTTTTGTAACTTCCTATAATGTTTCAAATAAAATTCTATTTTACTACCGCTATCTACATTCCTAAAAGTTTGGGTTATTTCTCTTCCCTGTAAGGTCAGAAAATGAATTTTCTTGAGTGTAGTAATTAACACTCAGAAAGTGGATAATCATGTTTGCAACCCACACAGCATATTTGGAATGGCCCAGAACCTGCTTTCGGACTCTGGGTCCTTCTCCAAAGTCCTATTTAAGGATGTGTTGTCCTCCTATTATACAGTGGGGAAATATGGCAATGGTCTGACTCTTTACATCTGTGACAAAAGACTTTGAATACCATGCTTTTTCTTTTTTCTATTGCCTTGGTTCCTCTTGAGTCATAAGTATGATTACTACCTAATGTCTCATTTAAGTGAGGCTGTTTATATCCAGTTGTTAACTTTGCTCATCAAAAAAAAAAATATTGGCGTATGTACAATGCTTATTGAAATTTTCCTTTTCTCTCTGGAAATTCTTACAAAAATTAGGTATTAAATCACATGTATACATCTACTCAGTGATGGAGATGGTGCATCACATGAAATAGTCCTAGAAATTCCAGTTTTTACATTGACGCACCAATCTACCCTCATTTGTGTGAAGGGAGCTATGGTGGTGGGGAATTCAAGAGAAATAAGAATTTAAGGGTATTAAAACATTTGACCTCCCTCATTTTCCAAGACATACATCTGAAATGAGGCTAGCAACATTAATGTTGTAATGGAATCTAATTAGAGGAGTAAACATTTTAATTGACTCATTTTTTTGTATATAAATAGTCCCCTGTAAAGGGTTTAGAGATAATGTATGCTCTGAAATATTAAATGCTTTCTTCTCAAGCCAACTCAAAAAAAAATTTTCAAGGTAACATTCTTTTACCAAATGATTTTAAAAGACCATGCGAAACTATGCATGAATCCCAGTTTTACATTTTCACTGACAGTTTTGGTCACTGATTTTTAAACATGAACTGCACCTGCTACTGTAGTTGCCTCTTCTTTTATGATATCTATAAAGACCTCACCTTTAGCTAGAAAGTTATTTTGAACCAGTTACCACCTGATACACTATTGATATGTTCCTCCAAACAGGTGACACAATGAAAGGACTTTGTGACCCCAAGAAAACCCATGTCAGTGATGCCTAGACTGGCACTGCCAGAAGTGGACTCTGGTGTCCATACCTGAGCCTTAGCCACGGGGAACAGGTGTTCAAGGCAAACACATGCCCTGTCTCACACTTGTAGACCCACAGGGTGAGGTCCAAGATCACCATCAGAACACACTGGTGATGCTAGGCTTACTTTGGGTATTTCAGGAAGTTTCACTGTCACTAAGTACACCTGGACAAGTTTAAGTAGGTGAGCTATCACAGTAGAAAAAAACTTGTTTAGATAAAATGTTGAATCTATGCAAGATGGAATGTATGAATCCCTTTCCAAAATGTGGTTTCACTGTAGTCTGTTATTCCTGACAAGCCAAGATCCAAGCATGAGATGGAAAATTCCACAACTCCTAAATTTTAAATTCATGTCACTCTGACATATATTTCATTCCATACCTTACTACCTTGCTCTCTTACACTTTGTCCAGTGTATCCATACTGTATAAGCCACCTACCCACTAGTCACCAATGGATCCTCAGATTATTAGACTGCCACAGTATCACAGCGTTTGTGCTCAACTGCTCTTTACTTAGTAACACTGTCACAGCAGAAGAGTGGTGATGCCGGCAGTACAGATATACCAGTGAAACTGCTGTGCTTCCTGTCAGTGAAAAAGTGAAGGTTCTTGATCACAAACAAAGTCATATTCTGCAGTTGCTAAGCTCTGCAGTTGGGACATCTTCTATCCATGAGATTGTGTAACAGGTAAAAGAGATTTGTGCTAATTTTATTATCACCCCTCAGACTCAAAAAGTTGTGATTACCGTGCACGGTGACTGCTCAGATAGGATGCAAAAAGTACTAAATGGAAGCATGCTTAGGAAAAAATATAGGATGCCTAAAGTTCAGAACCAACTGTGGTGTGAGGCACCCTCTGGGCGTCTCATCAGGAACGTGTGGGCCTGGGGTGAGGAACTGATGAAGAGGTTTTTTGGTAAACCTGAAAGGCTGTTTCCGATCCATGGCGTAATTTGCAACCAGTTAGCTTTTTTCTCTCACAGTGTATGCTTGGGAGGATTTTTATTTATCAAGATGTGGCTTAGTTTAAACCAAGACCGACAATGATGTGTCTTCATGGACACCAGATTCATACAGTTTACCTTTGTGTTACCTAAGTTATTAGTGGCAGTTAATGCTTGCTCCTTAATGTCTGCAATTATCTCCAATTATCTTCTCCACTTAGGGAATAACACGAGCTGTCTTAATCTATTCCAAAGAAGATTCAGCACCATTTCTATGAGGTATCAAGTTAGAAAACAGAGTCTTATTTTGACTATTACTGTTTTCATAGAAAGCTGTCTAGAAAATGCCTGGTGAGCTCAGGTGATCTTTTTGGGACACAAAGAACTAAAGAGAACTTGTTTCTTTAGTGTTTGTGTAGCTGCTTAATTAGAAGTCTACTGTGATGTTATCTCACTACTGTGCTGGCCAGCAGCATAAATCTCACATTCTGAACCTATCTGATGCTGTGTAAGTGTTGTAAACGCCAACAAGCTTGTGTTTAGCATTAAGATGAGCTTCATCATAATGGAAGTTAAGTTTCTCAAGGGCCTCTGGACCCTAAGCCATTTCAGATCAGGACACAGTACTGCTTCTAAACACATAAACCAATTACAGAAAATTACAACTTCACAGAGATTTTATTTTTGACAAACATAGAATTGGCAAGTTCTTCAGGATGAAAAATGATGACTGAGTAGAGGTTTGTTCTGTCTTTTGCCTTGTTCAGAAGCTAGGTCTCAGCTTCCGGGGCAGGACTAAGCGACCCATTCCAGAGGCTTCTGCCAGGCTGGAGGGCGAGGTCAGTTTTGGAGTGAGGGGCATGGTGCACCGTCCTCTGTAAGCTTGCTGTTCTCCCTGAGCTGGCATCTCTTCTCTGAACGCAGCTGCCCAAGTGTCCAAATTTCCCCAGCCAGGGCTGTGGCCTGTACCTGGACCTCAGGGTCCATAGGGAAGGATGGGAAATGCTCCTGGGCCACCTGTCCCTGCAGCATCCTGTAACTGTATCCTCTGCAAGTGGACCCGAGGAGGGCAGAGTGCTGCACTCACCAGCAGCCTTTCCAGCCCACATGCCTGGGGTCACCACAGCCCCCAGCGACCTCCCCAGGGCTCTCCGTCCCCTCTGCCCTACTTCTGGTCCCTGTAGGAGCCCATGCAAGCCAGGTTCCTGCAATGCAGGGCTCGGAACAAGGGCCCAGCCTTCTGTGGGCCCCAGCATGACTCCTAACCTCCTCTGTCCAGGCCCCCAGCCTGTCTGAAGCCTCCCAGTGAAGCTCCAATGGGTACCACCCCTGCCTGTCCTCTGCTTGTCCCTCTGGATACAAGAGCATGTGTGCCTTGGGGCAGTGGGCAGAGCTAGGCCTCCAGAGCCCAGTCCATTCCTAACCCTAAGTGATATTTTACTTAAAAAGAATAAAGAACAATTCCATGTGACCTCACCTGATGTTTCAGATTACTCAAGAGAACTTACAGGACAAAACAGCATCCATGTTACTAACACATTTAATTTCCCTGAGATTCTATTCTATAAACGATACACAAACTGCTCACTAGATCAGTGTTTCAAACATCATTGTGCAATCGGATTAGCTGGTGCCTGTTGGAGGGTCCCCAGGAGTCTGCGGGAGATGGGTGGCCCTCGGGAGATGCTGCAGGCAGCGCCCGGCTGCTCTGAGCAGCAGGACTTTGGACCATGTGGAGGACTGAGAGAGACACTGACCAGGAGGAGCACCACACTAACAAAGGTGGAAGTCACTAGTGTACGACAAGAGATGTTCCCTACTAAGATCCATCTTTGACTTTCAATATTTCCACATGCCTGACCGATTAATAAAGACTCAGTAAGTTTATAGGCTTTAACTTCAGAAATAGAGTGCTATGATCTTAAAAATAAAAACATGGCCATTTGTAAGAACTTTTAAGAAATTTGTGGATTTTAAAGAGCGAGGGAAAAATCAATTTTTACAGATACTCATGAAATTCTATCTCCTTGCATCAGCCCCAGAAGGCCCAGTCATCGTTTTGGTCCTTCGGAGTCTAAGCGCCAGGACACTGAACATGCACCCCAAGAGCAAAGTCATTCTCACCACAGTTGTGTCCCTCAGCATTCAGCTTTTGTGTGAAAGCTCACATCCTGATACTTACAATAAAAAGTTCAATATGATTCCTGTAGCCAGGTGGGGAAAAGGACAATCTCCAAACTAAAACATAATTCTAATGATCATAAATATTTAAATTTACCCTGTACATGCAATTTCTGAAACTATGGAATTTACAACAATAAATATTAATGTTGTAGTAAATTAAGTGTATTAAAATTTCATCTACAATCATAGGGTATGTGCACTCAGTTGGAAATGGGCATCATATCTTAATGGACTCATTAAGAGGATCCAAAGGAATGGCAATCTGCGAGGAAAGGACCCTTAATCATCCTTGGTGGCAGTAACGTGACGCCACTATCAGTACCCAGCCTGTGCTTCCCTGCATTAGCACAGCCCTGGCTCCAGGCTGGTTCCCAGCCCTTGGGTGCTGCTGATGAACTGGAAATTTAGCAAAGTCCTAGGAAAACACTCAGCTTTCCTGTGTCTCCTTCTAGGCACATTAAAATGAAATAAAGGATAGGACTTTGAACAGGAATCTTACAAAATTCAGCTCCTCTCATATGGGATCTATGGAATGTCACAGACTCATAATCTGCATAAAAATGCTCACTAGTTTTTTTGGGATTTTTTTTTTTTTTTTTGTACTGGAGATTGAACCCAGGGCCTTACACTGAGCTATATCCCCAGCCCTTTTGAGCCAGGGTCTCAGACTGGGACCAAGTGGCCCAGATTGGGCTCAAACTTGCAGTCCTCCTGTCTTGGCACCTTTGAGGACAGGGATGAGAGGTGTGTGCTATTCCACCTGGCTTTGCAGGCCAGTTAAATACAGCAGCTTCTCTATGATTTTCACAGCAGCAGTTTTCAGGTGAGCAGAATGTCACAAATGTGCTTCTCAGTGGGGATGTGAGCATGGCTACTTTCCTCCTCCACACATTGAGGACCAACATCTCATCACCATTCCCTCTCCTGTAAATGACAGTTTTCCTTCACCTGGAGTTTTAATTAGTTGTTTGGTCCTGAAGAGAGCATTGTGGGTAAACACTGAACACATTTCCTCTCGGCAAAACTTTGCTGCAATCTTAACTTCCCAAGTGTCCCCGGCACTTCTGATCATCCATAAATGTAAATGCACAGCCCCAGAGCAAGCCCATGTGCGAATGACTCACTCACTCATGCACACTTCCTTTCCTCCTGGGTCACTGGCCCTCACTGGATACCTTGATAGTGCTTCTCCATGGCTGCAAATGTGTCCTACTTGCCTTTTAACCTCCCACTCTCAGCACCCTTGGAACGAGGTTTGTTGAACGTCATTATAAAAACAGCCACCAAAGCCAAGGCAGCTCCCAGCCCTGGGGGCCCGCAGGGGCTGATCTCCTGGGCCACTCCCGAGAGGAGGGGAGCGATGATTCGGCCCACGGCAGTCACGGATTGTCCCATGCCAATGATGGTTCCACTGGCCTGGGGGCCACCCACGGTCAGCTGCAGGTCAGTGACACAGGTCCTGCCGATGGCAGTGGAGAAGGACAGCAGAGTGGAGGCGAGGACCACCAGGGCCATGGTGCCAGCCGAGGTGTAGAGCAGCAGCAGCGCGCAGGTGAGCACGTTGGAATGCAGCAGGGCTGTGTGCAAGTTGTGCCCGTAGAGGCGTAGGATGGGCCCCAGAGTGAGGCCCGCCAGGGCGCCCAGGGCACTACTGCCACTGATGAGGTAGCCCGAGGTCCGCGGCCGCACCCCAAACCGCTCCTCCAGGGCCAGCACAAAGTTGCTGTGGTACAGCATGACCGCCACCCCCATCAGCAGGCGCACCAGCAGGATGTCACCCAGCTCACAGGACACCAGGCTACGCCTGTCCAGCAAGGCTGACCTGACCTCTGCCCAGCACTCCAGGGGAGAAGACTTGGCAGCCATGGAGCTCGCAGCTGCTCCCTGAGGCTCATGGTCTCTGCTTCCAGACTGTGCCTGGTGCCTGGGCCGTCCCAGGCCATTCTCCGTCCTGTGGACTTCCGTGCCACTCCAAGGAAAGAGCCAAATGAGACCTGTGAAAAGGGTGAGGCTTGAGACCACGATGTTAGCTGAAATAAATCAGACACACAGCTAAAATAATGCATGGTTTGGCTACACGAGAAATCCAGGTAGAAATACATCACAGAGCAAAATAAAAGCTAGATCACGGGAGACAGGAAGATATAACTTTTGCAAATAGGAAGGGGCCAAGAGATGGAGAGAGAGGAAAGGGTGGGGCGTGCGAGGGGATAGAAGGAATTGTTGTGTGCATGCACCAAAGCCTTACGATGAATGCAATCATTATGTTGCATGCATGGACTCATAACAATTTCAATAAAGAAAAAAAGAATGCAGGAGACCTGTCAAAGCAGGCTCAATGTGTGCACTTCCATGGGCATCCTGGTGGGGGCGCTGTTATCTGCACCAGGATTTACCAGTCTATATATTTGATTTCAGTTTTTCCACCATTCCCACAGCCCCATTGTGATGTTATGATACAAGCAGGTCTTTCCCAGTTCAAAAGAAAGCAAAACAAGAAACCAAAAGGAAACAGGAAAGTCACTTTGTTTCCTGTTGGGAGCCGCAGCCGAGCCCGGTCGCCTTACTTGGCGGACGTGAGGCCTGTAGGAAAGAGCAAAGCCTGAGCTAGATTACCCCTCCCATCGAGTGTGCTAAGATGGCGCTTATCTCCTGCTTCCTGCTTGGTAAACAACCCGCCCTGTAAGATCTCCTGCTTCACAACCCGCCCTGTAAGATAGTCTGCCTAGCAACAACTGATGTTAGCCAATCAGCCCGCATCGCGCGCTTTGAACTGATTGGCCACTGTAACCCTATAAAAGTGAGTGCCTCTCCCGCTACGAGGGAAGAAGCAAAAAGAAGCAAAAAGAAGCAGAAGAAGCACAGAAGGAGCCGCGGAGAGCGGACCGGTAGAGGCTTCGGGACAGACTGTAGGAAGAAGCACGCAAGGAGCCGCGGAGAGCGGACCAGTAGAGGCTTCGGGACAGACTGTAGGAAGAAGCACGCAAGGAGCCGAGGGGAGCGGACCAACAGAGGCTTCGGCCGGGAGGATTCCCGGGGCAGGCTGTACGGAGAAGGAAAATAAAAGAAAAGGTTGTCCACTGCCAGACTTTGTTGTGTGTCCTTCCTGCCGGCCGGGAGTGACACCGACAGTTTCCAGCTCAAAGTCTGTGGTGCTTTCCTAGATCCCACTTCATATTTAATATTATACAAGCTAAGCTTGTATTTACTTTTTCATAAATTTCCTATTTCTCTGCCTACCATTAGTGCCCATTCTCCCATCCATTTACCCACCCATCCGTCCATCCATGCATCCATCCATCTGTGCATCTGTGCATCCATCCATCCATGCATCCATCCATTTGTCCATCTGTGCATCCATCCATCCATCTATCCATCCATCCATCCCTCTGTTCATCCATCCATCTGTCCATCCATCCATCCCAACATCCAACATTCACAGCACACTTCCTACATGTTAAGCCCAGTGCTTACCACTAGAAATCCTTCAAGTGAAAGACAAGGCCTGCCAGCATCCTGTCCAGGTGGAACTAACCTAAGGAAGCTCAGACAAGCCAGCAGGTGATCAGGGTCCAGTAGGAGGCCAGGCTGGGGAGACAAAGGTGCTGTGGACAGCGACAACAGACCAGGCAGCAGGGACAGCTTGCCAGCAATGACTCTCAGCAGCATCTACTGGAACCACCCCCAAGTCACCCACATAAACCCTGAGAATGCCATCATCAAAAACCACAACACAGCCTTAGATCAGCCACTGCTCGCCATTCAGTCTTCCTCCTGGCCCCTGGCGGGCATGTTCCTGCTTCTGTTTTATTCATCCAGTGCCATCCAAGCAGGAAGACCTCTTGCCAGTGCAAGTTCTAAAACATTAAGTCTGCACTCCAGTGTGCCATCCGAGACCTCCCTATACCTCCCTGCTGGCCTCTCAGTCTTACAGATTTTAGTCCGACATGGATCATTTCATGTTGCGTGCACTAACCTCAGAATAAGTGCTTCCATCAAGACAGAAAACCAACCATAGGAGAGTGTGGATCAGGACTTTTCTTGTGTTTATATCTTTAATGGGCCCTTGGACACTACAGTGAATGTTATAAAAATGTAAAAGAACTGTCACTGATATAATGGAATAAGAATGGAATTAAATTATAACAATGATGATCGCTGCTCATGCCCCCAAACCTCAGCCTTCCTCAGTGGGAAAATGGAACCCCCATAACTTCACGTCTTTGTAGATGAAAACATCTGCAGCTGATATTCCAAACCCACCCTGGTTTACGCCAGCGCAGAACACGAAAGGGCGCTCTCCCTTGGAAACACAAACAAGAGCTCCATGGTCACGCTGTTTACATGCTCTGAGAGTTCACGGTGCTGTCAATTTGAACAAGACACACCCAGTGTTCCAGTTTAACAGAGTCCTGGCTGTGGACAACAACTAAAGGGGAAAGAGCCACTGTGGATGTGGGTGGCATTGACAAAAAGGCTTGGAGCCTGGTTGGGTAAAATGGGAAAGGAGGACGTGACGTCTGGAGGAGCTCAGAGGAGCTCCAGTCTTCACTGTGGCCTTGGATGTTATCTCCAGTGCAGACCCTTCGTCCTCTCAAGAGGGACTCACAGGGGACTCAAGGGTGAGCTCCAGGTCTTCAGTTTTGACCAGACCCTTCATTCTCCTGTATGCATAGGGCAATTTCACATTCTCCCACACCCGATTCTACAGGTGGCACCTTGTAAATCCTCTGTATTCCTTATGTATTCTTCATATTAATCCTGGCCCTCTCTGGTGAACCCTAGCTGATTCACGTGCTGACTCTGGGCTTGGAATGGTTTCACCTCAGGTACCTTTCTCTCCATGGGAAGATTCAGCCACACCAGCTGATCACATGCTCCAAGCCACTGTAATCTAATTTATGCCAATCCATCGGGCCTGCCCTACAGGCTGAGGCTGCAGGTTAAGATCCTGCAAGAAATTACCAACTAATCCTACAAGAACTGAGAGCAGACTCATGAAATTCACTTCCCAAATCTGAGATTCCTCATCCGACACAGAACTCACAGCTTAATACCATTTCCTGAATGTGGGAACCTAAAAGCAGCAGTCGTGTGATCAGGTCCTGCACCAGGGAGGTGGACAGTGTGGATTGAAGCCCTTCATCCAAGGGCTGCCCATGCTCCAGTCTCTGCATAAAGAAGAAAGATGTGGTAGGTACCTGCCCCGGCCTCCAAGGAGCCCACAGACAGGAAGGACTCTCTGGTTTATCAAATATGATTCAGTGTCCAGCCTGTTCTAGGCAGAGGCAGCAGTGGTGAGTAGACTGGACAAAATCCTGGCCCTCTGGAGTAGGTGTGCGAATGTGTGTGTATGTTCAAAGGGCAACAAGCAGAAGACAGCAGGCGTACTATGAGGAAAATCGAGTGATGTCAGGCAGACTGATCAGACAAGGCCTAAGGAATGAGAAAGCCTGGAAAGACAAGTGCAAAGAATACAGGGACAGAAGCAGCAGCCAGGACAAGGCCTTGGGGTGGGGGAATCAGCCTGGGATGTAGCAGGTCAACCAGGAAGCCGGTGAGGCCAATGCCCAAGAGAAGAAGCAAGCGGGTGTCTGCTGCCTGTGACGGGCAGGCCATGGGGGCCTGGTGCCCCATCCGGGAGACCTCAGGAGCCTGCGCAGGGCAGGGGATGGTAGTCTGCCTGCCTGCCTTTTTCTTTCTTTCTCCCATGGCTTGATCTAAAATTGTAGTATACTCATAAAATGAAGCAGATTTTCATTTAAGCAAACACTAAAAGACTATGTTATCATGTAAAAGAATGAAAGTGGACCCTATTTTTATACTGTACATGAAAATAAACTCAAAATGAATTTAAAAACAGAAACACATAAGAACTGAAACTATAAAATTCCCGGAAGAAAAAGTGAGAAGAAGCCTCTTAAAACTGGCCTTAGCAGCCATTTCTTGGATTTGAGCCCCAAAACGAAGCCTGCAGGAGCATAAATAGACTACATGGTGACGTCAAAGTAAAAAGCTTCTGCACCGCACAGGAAAAAATTTGCAAAAGTGATCCATGACTGGGGATGTGATCTGCAAATCTGATCCAAACCTGATTAAAAAAAAGTAAGCACCCAAAATACACACATATTCTATATAAAACATGATTAGAGAATGAGCAGAAGGCTCAAACCGACATTTCTCTAAAGGTCAGCCAACACGCATTTGAAAAGATGCTCAACACTATGACTGAGGCAAACTGAGTCTGTAGGATTCGCTTCCTTGTATATTTTGTTTATGAAAAACAAAACGGCTAAAGGACAGCAGGGCGTGGAAAAGCAGGAGGCCAGGTAAGGGCCTGGGGAAGAGCACAGGGCTCCTTCCAAAAGACCTACATGTTTGATCAATGACTCCGGCGACTCTAAAATAAAAATGATCCAAGGAGAGGAGCCTGGGTAGCCCCACCCACAGAACCATCTTCTGGGGCCACACGCCACTCACCAGCATTGAGCAGGAAGACGGAGCAGCAGAGGAGTGCGGCGAGGCGGAAGCCGCCCTCCAGCTCGGCGAGGTACCCCCCTAGCACGGGACCCAGGATGAAGCCCGCGCTCGAGGCCGTGTTAAACCGGCCCAGCACCACCGGCCGCTCCTTCTCTACCACCAGGTCGGAGAGCAGTGCCCTGGAGATGGAGAGTGTGTGCTTGAAAACACCTGCAAGGGGACAGAAAACACGTTCCGTGACATCGTCCCTGGGTCCCTGCGTCCGGTCTCTGTCCTGGATGGAGCTGTGACCTCCACCATTTATGAAATCCCAAGCTTGCAGGCCCCAGTCCACCAGAACTGGACTCTCCGACTAATGCCATGGCTATGGTAGGTGAACACATCCATGACCCTTGTATACCTGTCTCTTGTCATGACCTCGGGCAGCTCTAGTCCTGTTATCTGCCCACCGTCATGGTCATGGTGGCTTCCATCTGAGTGACTTCTGGCTCCATTTATCTCCTAGCAAACCTGACCACACCCCTGCTGTGTGCAGCACTGATCCTAGCAAAGGCAGGTCTCCCTGTACCTCAGAGCCGGGGTTGTCCTGGGAAACACAATGTGGATCTACTGCAGGTGACAGAGGCTGAGGAGAGGAACACAACAAGCCAAGATGACAGGATGTGGGCAGAGATACGACAGAGTCTTTGTCTGGCCAACATCTGCTACCTTCTGCTCTGTGGTGAGGCCGGCGGCTCTGCTGACCAACCTGCCTGAGAGCTGTGACGTGACTTTATCTTCCTCCCGGTCCTGGGGATGTGTCTCACTCCTGCATACCCAGCGAGTGGCCTGACTACTCTGAACTGTACCATGATGCACTGACCTCCGTAGTCCCCACCAGTGGACTCTCTCCACCAGCACTGTGCTGTCTGGACCCTTCATCTTGGGCTGATTCCCAAGATGCTCAGGATTCAAAATGAGGTACACATGAGTTGGGCAGCCAGCCCTGACATAGCCCTGCAGGGGGAGACCGACACTCCCCACATATGTTTCCCCACTTGAGCCGAGGCACCAGGTCAGAAGGTGAAGTCTGTTTCCTGCAGGAACTCTGGGATGGTTGTGACATCCTATCTATGAGGATTCACCCATGCGGGGGAGGCCTGTGCAGTGAGCACCCGGTGACCACACAGACAAGGGCTCTCTTGTCCCCCAGAGGTGGGGAGGGAAACCCCAGGTAACGAGCACTGGCACATTAGCAGTCAGGGCCCAAGGATCTGAATCCAAACTGACTGTGGGCATGAGAAGCCTGACGAGGCAGCCAGTCCCTCCATTCACGGCCACCAAACAGTGAGGACACCACACTCTATGAAAGGGTGCCACGTGTAGCCTTCCCTGTTCACCAAGGCCAAGATGCTGGTGGGACAGGCCAGCATCATTCAACCAGGCTCCTTTCCCACTAAACTAAATCAGTCCATGCTCCCTGGAAGTGTCTGCCCACCGTGGAACTCACCGGGTGTGCCCACCCGTTTTCGGTAAGAAGACAGCGTCCACCACTGAATGGCAGTGCATGCAATTCATGCAGACACTGCCAACCATGCTGCAGACGTACGGCTGTCCTGACACAAAAGCAGCAGCTGAGACTGAGGCTTGGGCTTGGTGGCAGGTTTCTGAGGATCGCAGCGACATGCAGGCAAGGTGTTACAGTACAGTCAACACAGGGTGTTTCGGAGAGAGAACCCAAGTGACACTCATCACAGAGGTGGGGTGCAAAGTGATGGTCACTTTGTCCCTCTGCAGTGCCAAGTGAGACCAAGCAGCTAACTGTGGGCAGCCAAGCAGCACTGCAGACCTGGCCAGAGCCACAGAGGTTGCTGGGCTCCGGTGTGCAAGGTAAGGACCAGATCCTGGCAACGCCAGGGCTGCGACAGCTGGGAAGCATAAAGCACTTCCACCGTCACTGCCACCCATCGGACACCAGGTATGTTTCCGGACAGGTGAAATGTTTCAAGAAACACACAAAGGGGGCAATAGTCAAGAGCAGTCTGTGAGCAGCAAGCCACCTGGGCAAGTCCCAATGGAAGCCAGCAGTGGGCACAGAGCAAGAAGCTCACTTTAGCCAGAGAGGCACCGGGAGCCATGGTGCTGGCCAAAGAGAGCACCGATTCCTGCTCCAGAGACAGAGAGCAGGGCAGGAGGGGGCAGCTCAGGTGTAGCCACAGCACTTGCGAGATAGTCTACTGGGACTCTGGGACCTGGCACCTACGAGGTCTGCAGCATTGATGGTCGCTGCTGGAAACACAGGTCTGGCCATTGCCACTCAAGGGCCACATTCTCTGCAGTGGTTCCCCTCGCCTCCCCTCTCTTCTCCTCTTCTCTTAGACTCTCCTCCATTTCCCTCCCTCCCTTCCTCTCCTCCCTTCAGGGACCAGAGACAGAGACAGAGGGGCTGGGTGGGACTCACCCACTGGGACTCGCGCCAGGGCGAACAGGAACACGCTGGTAGAGGCTCCGAGGAGGAGGTAGCCCAGGGCACTGAGCAGGAGGCACAGCAGCAGGGAGCAGCGCCTGCCCACCACGTCACTCCAGCAGCCCTGCGGAGAGGGACACAGGCTGTGCTGTGCTGTGTCCTCGGTCCCCATCCAGCAAAGCCCCACAACGAGGCCAGGAGGGACCCATTTCACTATCCTCTGGGACTGCTCTGCTGTGCCACTGGCCAGATGGCTTATCTGCCTGTCCTCCCATGGGCGAGCAGAGACACACCACACTTTTCGTGGACCACACAGTGACATCTGATGAGCTGATGGCTGGGGATTGGCCAGTGAGACACCAGCTGGAAAGAGAGTCATCTCCGCCTTCCTTCTTTCACGCAAGGACACATGTCAGAAACCATGTTCATCGCTGAGAAATTTATGAGATATTTCGAAGTGAGCTGAAGAGCCCTCACAACTTTAGACTCACGCATGGTGCAGTTTATGACAATGATCACACAGGACAGAAAGGATCCAGGCCTGAGCATGGGTCCACTGCCCCAGGTGAATGCAATCACTATGCACTGACTGAAAAACTTTTGAAAAGAAAGTGGTGCGAGGGGCTGGGGATTTAGCTCAGCAGCATAAGTGCCTGCCTTGCAAGCAGGCAGTCTTGAGTTCGATCCCTGGTACCGATAAAAAGGAAAAAGACAAAAAAAAAAAAAAAAAAAAGTGGTGTGCAGAGCCCCACGCTGTAACTCACTTTGGTACTAACAGTGCCATCTGCACATCACCACGTGGTACTAAAAGTGCCCCACTGCTGCCACTGTGATTCATGCTCTGCACCGTACTACGTGCTCATAGTAACAAGTCTTTTCATGAGATATTTGGTTCTTATCAGTTTGTCGAAGATACATATAGTGCTGCAAATAAGCACTTTCATAGTAAACTCTTTGCACACATCTTTGGAATTGTCCTGAGAACAGAACTCTAGCATAGGGCTTGTTAGCTTAAAAGGTAGGTCTATCTTTAGGCATTTGATAAATACTGACAAATTATTCTTTAAAAAAAAATCTACATCCCCAATCAGTGTAATTAGGAGAGTGCCATTATTGTCCCTGGGTTTGAGGGAAATGGAACTGCCTTAAAATATTGCTTGCTAGGGCTGGGCTGCTGAAATCCCAGGGCTAGGGCTGGGATGCTGAGGCAGGAGGACAGCAGGGAGTTCAAGGCCAGTCTGGGCTGAACTACATAGCGAGATCCTGTCTCAACAAAACAAAAGCAACAACAAAATAAGACTAGCAAGCCCTGTGTGGGTGCGCATGGGCACAGCCTGAGAGCGGGCAGGAGAAGGTCACAGATGTGAAGTCACAGGCACCACCAATCCAGGCTGGGAGGTGACAGAGACTAGCTCCTGTCTCCTTGTCCTCAGGGCCAGCTGTGACACACACCTGGGCTTTAGTTCACCGGGGTCCCCTGCCCACCTGTCTGCCTCACCGAATGCCAACTGCACTGTTTAGGATCCTCCTTCTCTATCCTGGGTGCCAGCATGAGTGTGTATATGCACACACGTGTGTGTACACAGGCATCTTTCTCAGAGACTCTGAAGATATAAGATATAAACTGTCATTACCATTTGTTTTCAGAGACACCCAGGATCCTAACTTTCTTTTCAGTGGATTCTGCAAATCTTCCCCCAACTTCCCAGTGGGGAGCCTTGGCTTCCTGTGCTTCCGGGATGGTAACAGCATTGGAGCTGTGCCCCTGCCATAGAGACACTCCTCCCTTGCTTCAGTGCCTCTGCTTGAAGCCAGCAACCTTAACCACCTTGGACTCTTTTCCACATCCACACTCAGGAGAGCCAGTCATTAGTGACACCCCACCACCACGACACCCCTCCACCCCAGCACTTGTTTCTGTGACAATGAATCAGAGCCCTTGCTCCAAGCAGGGCCTGACATACGGTCATTGCTGCACAAATGGGAGCTGCTGCTATGAAAACACTGGCACCAACATCATTACCCACAGCCGACAGGGAGCAGCTTTCTTCCTCAGTGTTTCTTCTTAAAATACACATTTTTATAAAACTTACGGTAATTAAAACATGCACTCAGTACTGTATTGATTAAATAGGAAATCGGACTTCAGTATCTCTCTGTTTGAAAAACTTCCAAGGAGGGTTTTCACTCAGTTACAACTAAACTGAGATCCATGAAATCACGGGCTTTGCGGGCACAAGCCTGAGACAGAGGATCACTGAAAACTCATGCAGGGTGAGGGTGGCCGTAAATACTCAGTGTGAAATGCCGATTCCATGACAGGTGCCCAGCAGAGTGCTGGTGATGGATCCCAGCCCCTCGAGTCTGGTCCTCAGGGTCAGGCGGCTGGAGTCCAGCAGGTGAGGGAGGAGCCCGAGTGATGGCAGATTTTTTTTTTTTTCTTCTGGTCTTTTTCAGACAGGGTCTCTCTATGTAATTCAGTCAGGCCTTGAGCTCACTTTGTAGCCCAGGCTGGTCTTGAACTCACAAAGATCCTCCTGCCTCAGCCTCCCGAGTGCTGGGGTTACAGGTGTGAGCCACCACACCTGGCCAAGAGCCCGAGTGGTGGACTGCACCATGGCCTCGATGATGGATCTGCACTGGGCAGGGATGTGTGAGCCACTATGCTGCACGGCAGAGGGCTTAAGAGGCCCGGCTCAGCTTCCTCCCAAGGGAATGAAACTCTGGAGAGTCTGATGACCGGGGTGTCTGTCCATTGTCTCAGATCGCTAAGGCAATGGCAGGTGACTCTCAGGAAAACCAAAAACAAAACCAATAGCATGAGTGTGGACAGCAGTCTGGTACTGAGGCCAGGTGACTTAGTCAAATTATTGAAATTTCTTGAGTCTTAAATTTCCTTCTAGGGGAATGCAGGCGTCAAACTACCCTGCAGGGTAGTTGCACTTTAAGTGAAGAAAAAAAGCAATTATCTTTATGCAAATGTAACACAGGAAATACTTTCTAAAAATGACAAATCTGGGTGGAGTGGTGCCTGCCTGTAACCCAAGTACCCAGGACTGAAAATTCCACATCAGCTGAGACAATCAGCTGTGAGTGAGACCTGTCTCAAAAAGGGCTGCAGAAATAGCTAAAAAAGAAACAAAACAGAGGATTTAGCTCAGTGGCATAAGCACCTGCCTTGCAAGCAGGCAGTCGTGAGTTCGATCCCCGGTACCGATAAAAAGAAAAAAGACAAAAAAAAAGAAACAAAACATGCATCAGGGAAATAGCTCTCTATTGATTCTGCAGTTCAGTATGAAATACAAATGAATTTTTGTTACATAAAAAAATAAAACAAAAAACATATTTCACAGGGAAGTAATGCCCAGGAAACACAGGGGCAGATCATCTCCCCCTCACCTGTGCTCACTATGCAGGAGACCACAGGCCAGCATCATTCTTCAGGCCACCAGTGGTGAGCCCATGAGACCCAAGTGATAGCTGCAACATTGTTTGGACCACTGCACTCCTGAGCTCTCTGCTCTGCAGGGCAGGGCTCACACATCCTTGCCACGTGCGGATCCAGCATGGAGGCCACGGAGTGGTCTGTCACTTGCCTGTTGGACCCCAGCAGCTTGGTCCTGAGGACCAGACTCGAGGGGCCAAGATCCGTCACCAGCACTCTCCCAGGTACCTGGCACAGGGTCGGCATTTCACACTGAGTTTTCATGGCCACCTCACATTTTCAGTGAACACGTTTTCAGTGATCTTCTGTCTCAGGCTTGTGCCCGAAAAACACATGATTTCATGGATTTGATTTAGGTGGAACTGAGTGAAAACCCTCCTTGGAAGTTCTTCAAACAGAGAGATACCGAAGTCCGATTTCCTATTTAATCAACACAGTGCTGAGTGCATGTTTTAATTACCGTAAGTTTTATAAAAATGTGTATTTTAAGAAATGCTGAGGAAGAAAGCTGCGCCCTGTCGGCTGTGGGTAATGATGTTGGTGCCAGTGTTTTCATAGCAGCAGCTCCCATTTGTGCAGCAATGACCATATGTCAGGCCCTGCTTGGAGCAAGGGCTCTGATTCATTGTCACAGAAACAAGTGCTGGGGTGGTGGAGTGTCACTAATGCCTGGCTCTCCTGGGAGTTGATGTGGAAAAGAGTCCAAGGCGGTTAAGGTTGCTGGCTTCAAGCAGAGACACTGAAGTGAGGGAGGGCCAGCAGCAGCATGAGGGCAGTCAGAAGCAGAGTGGCAGGGTCACCCTGGTCCTCTGTCCTCCATGTAACCCACCACACACATGCCTTCCAAGTGTTCACCTAAGTCTGCAAGACGATATGGCATGTGGTCAAGGCACACCCTAAAGCAGAATCCTAGAGACCTAAATGGATGTGACAACTGTCAATTAAGTGAGGGAAGAAATAAAACTGGCAGTAACTTTTGTTGGTCTCACCTTCTTCCAGGGATGCATGAGAGGAACACATTATGATTTAAGGATCCTCTTCATCCAAGATCTAGCTGACTCCCTGCATCGCTCAGAAGATATCTAATCCCTGCTTTCTCTTGGCCCAAATAAAGAGAACCCACAATGAAAGGATCTTGTTGATCTAACTGCCTGTGTATTTTGGTCATCTGCTAGTTATTTATTGGTAAATCTCACATCCTCCATGACCACAACTATAAAGCAGGAGTTCAGAGGTGTGGCCCTGTGCTCTCCAGATGGGCCAGAGAGAGAGGATGACTTACCACCAGCGTGCTGGAGAAGAGCTGCAAAATTCCGTAGGAGGAACCTGCCAAAAACAAAAAAGCAAATGAGAAGCAAAACAACATCAGCAAAATCAGATGAACCTGTTATAAAAAAGAATCGAGGTGGTAACAATTACATGGAAACCAACAAACAAGCAGAAAGGGAGAAGTTTTAGAAAAGGGAAAGGAAGTTATCCTACATTCTTTCCTAGTTGGGAAAGTATAAGTCATATGATTTTTAATAGAAGGCCTTCAAAATACAACAGCAGGAAAACAGAAGGAGGAATAAAGCACAGGGCTGAGCTCAGGGACCCTGAAGAAAGTCCTTCTTCTGCCCTGTGAGAACCATGCAGCTCTGACTTACAAATGTGTACAGAGGGCAGCAGACAGCTGAACTTTAGAAGAACTATACTGAGTCTTAAAATTTTAACACCGACCCATCTCTGAACATTTTACCATTTGACAACCGATGGCCAAAAAACATGGCGGATGCTTGACAGGTGTGAGCACTGCAGGTGAAGTCCCTGGTGCTCACCCTCAATGATGGGTTCCAGTAGGCAGGGACCACTCCTGCCCTCAGCATACACAGCAGGCTCCTTGAGGACATTAGTGGCAACATGTGGGTGAAGGGGTAACCCTGTAACTCAAAATGTGCCTGAATACAGACAGTCCAGAGCAAAGAGGAGTGATGTTTGCTCCAGTGTAACATTAAAAATTATTCTAGAAATCCATTTTGTCTTGTTTCCAACTTGCTTTTGGGCATCATTTGGTGGTAAAGACTGAGTTGTGCACACAGGCATTCAGAAGCCAGCGCCCTGCAGCTGACCAGAGGTGCCCACTCACCGATGATGCCAGCCACAGTAGGACTTGTTCCAAGTGACTTGGCGTGAAGGCTCAACAACGGGATGACCATGCTGACCCCAAGCAAATCCTAAGAGGAAACAAACGAGGATGGCTTGGGTTATAAACTGTGGCCTGAGGAGTTTTTAATATCGTGGCCCTGAAATTACAATAAAGCCAGTATCTACTCTTCTCAGCAAGAAAAATATGCTAACTGTATTCCAGAGTATGCCAACCTCATATGGCTGATCTCAAAAGAAATGTGCCAGGATGGGCACTATATGTAAATGTCTGGATGACCTGGCTCAGGTTCCATTTCATCCCTAGCTTCTTCATAACTGAGACTTAAGGTTCAAGGCAGGTGGGCAACACAAGTCCTTCATTTAAAAAAAAAATCAAATAAACAAAAGATCCACAGATGCGGAAGCAGAAAAGGACAGGACAGTCCATATTTACTGGTGAAGCAGCATGTCCTGACAGATAAAAAGAGTTTCCTTCTGGACTCAGAGAAGGCAACTAGCATGCAGGAGCCTGCAGTTCATGGCCTATGAGGTCGCAGCTGAGAAGAAAGTCTCAGGGCAGCAGTGATGGTGCCTGGGAATGGGTGGGCTCCCTGGGGAAGGGCAGAAAAATTGCAGACCGATGATCGCTGCTCCAGCTCCATCGCTAGGTCACTGTGTACCCTTGGAAAGGTTTCCTTATCACCATGTCCCAGCAAGTCAGCTATGAAGTAGGGGTCTAAAAACACCTGCCTGCTGAACTATGATGAGCACCAAGGGACAAAATGCCTGAGAAAGCCTGGCACACAGGGAGGCTCGAACATCTGGGCGGTAAGAAAGGATCCTGGGAAGCATTCTGAGCTATCTGGGGCCCATGAGGTTTTTCTTTATGTTTCATTCTTGTCCTCATTTGGCTACCTGCCGTGACTGGCTCAGGGGAAGAAAGAGATACCTATTCATACCATTTTCCCTGTACCCAGCCGGTAAACCTGGTTGAACTGAGCAAAAGAACACACATGAAAAACATGTTCTTGGGACCCAGCATGAATCTTTTGCTTCCTTGACCAGCCTATGGATTTGTACAGTGCAGAACCAGTGTCACCTGTCCTGTGTGCCCAGCAATTTGGTGGAACAGGCTTTCTTTATGATCTTAACTATTCACCCCACAGAGGGAGGATATGGGGCTGGTCTCTCTGTGCTCCTCCTACTGGGTAGCAGGAATCCATGCCATTAATGGATCTTCAAGTCCTCCCACTGACATCTCATTCAAGCAGTTCTTCTAGCCCATAAAAGAACTCCTGCTGGGCGCTATTTCCAGCTCCGACCAACCTTGGGTTAGCTCACAACCTGGGATAGATATGTAGGGCACCAGGTCTAGACCCAGAGAAAGAAGCGAGGAGGGGGATTGGACCCCTGCAGAGGATGGCTCAGGACACAAGCTTACTTGTAAGACTGCAACATCTCTGGTGTAGGAGCTTCGTATTACAACCTGGGAGCTCCACAGGGCGCGAAGCGTTGGACACCCCGAGTATGTGATTAATGCATGCATGAATCGATGCATGGCTTTTCCTGCTAAGCACTTAGCTCCCAGTCCGCGTTGGAAAGAACTTCTAGTATGAAGCAGGACACGCACACGCACACACACGCGCGCGCGCGCGCGCGCCCATGATGAACCAGAACGGGAATCTGTGTCCTGCAGTTTGCAAACATTGTGGGTAAAGGCCGACATGCACGGTCCATAGCCGGTCAACCAGGAAGTCCCGGGAGGTGCGCCTCTGGCTCTGGTGCGGCGCTGTGCAGCCTCCTCCTCTAGCGGGTAGGTCAGCGGCCCGCGCCCAGCGCCGGCTCCGGCGCTCAGGTGGACACGGGGGCCTGGCCGAGGCGACCGGGCCGGCTAAGGGATGCGGCTGCCGGCATGAAGGGCTCGGAGGCAGGGTCCCGGCTGCGCACGGCTTGCAGATCTGGGGAGCCGGGGGTGGTGATGCTGCTCCGGGTCCCGACACCCCGCGTCTCCCGCCACGCCCCACACTCACCAGGAAGCCGACCAGGTAGAGGCCGAGCAGGAAGCGACGGGCTCGCACCGTGCCCGGCCCTGGCTCCCGCGGGGGCTCCAGGGTTGCTGAGGCCGCGCCAGGGTCCCCGCCCGGGACCCCACGACACTCCCGCAGCATCGCTGTGGCCAGACCGAGGGCGCCGACGCCGCAGACTTGCCTTCAGTGACCCACGGCTCGGCCCCGCAGCGGGCGGAAGCCCCGCCCCACCGCCAGTGTAGCCCCGCCCCTCTAACCAGCTTCCCTCTTCCGGGTTTTGAGCCCTCTTCCAGCGCTAGCCCCGCCCACCACCCTGCCCCGCCCCAGAGGTTTCCCCGCCCACTGCCCGGCCCCACCCCAGCCCCGGTGATAGCACCGCCCAGCTCCCCCTGACCTGTCAGTATAAGAAGCCCCGCCCCTCGCCTCGGCCCCGCGTCTAGCGGAAGCAGCTGTGCGCGCTTGCGCAGAGGGAGAGCGTGGGGGCGTGGCGCAGGGGCTGGGCTCCTGAGGGCGCTTGTTCGTTGCTCCATAGATACTGTGCAAGGAATGGATGTCAGCGAATCCCGGCTTTATGCGGATAACGACGCTGTTCTTCCTGCCCTCACCGGGGCTGAGCCTGTGGCCGAGAGGTGGGACAGAGTCGTGGCGAGCCCGGTGCTGCCGTAGAGGGGGTCCCGTGGCCCCAGGCCTCTAGTCGTCCGCAGCGGGCCGAGACCCCTGAACGTGGCTCTCCAAGCCCTGAGCTGCTTTGTCGTAAACCCGGGGGAACTCGCGTGGCCGAGGAATGGAGGATTCCGCAGCAATCCCAGGCTCTCTTCGGATCGCGCCTCCCCAGCCCGAAGGAGCAGCTGGCCTCGACTTGGCTGCCCCACGTCGGGGTGTGTGCAACCTGGTGCCCCGCCGGGCTCCGAGGTGTCGGAGTGCAACCGTGCTGGCCTCAGCTAGTGGCAGCCGCTCTTTATTTATTATAGATGTATTTATTTTATTTAAAAGAGAAAAAATACAGGAAAAAAGCAAAAGAGGCAAACAACAAACCCAAATAATAACAATATAGGCTTTCAAAACAAGGTGTTAGGAATTTTAACAAGGCTTGTTATCTTGTGTATTGTTACCTTCAAAAGAATTGCTCAGGTTACCAGGTATAGACATACAAAATTGATCAAACCAGGAAGTAGCAACTGTTCTTTTCCAAGAACTAAATTTGTAGAGTAGCATAGTCATCTTAGCTGTCTTATGTGTACACATTTATTTCTATTTCTTTTTCCCTTCCTTCTTTTCTCTTTTTCCCTATCCCAGTTACTTTTCCCCTTTGAGCAGTTATTTACTCTTACACAATTATTATTTATTGTCGATTTTGGATCTTGCTTTTTCACTTTCTTACACTAGGGAGGCACTACAGTGTTTGCCATACGGTGAGTTTGATTTATTTCACTTTTGAGTATGGTCTCAAGTCGCATGCATTTACTTGTAAAAGCCTTGATGCAATCCTTATTTATAGCTGAGTAGTACTCCAGTGTATAAACATACCAGTTTCTCTTTTGATGCTTTTGATGCAGGGGAGTCTCCTGGGACTACACAGCTAGTAAGCCCTGAGGTGGCCATGGAGTTTAATTTCCCATCCTGTACTGTGGTTTCTCTCAATCCCCACATTAGTTTCCTAGAGCTGTGTTAACACTAATTTGCTGGTTGAAAATAACAGAAATTTATTCTTTTACAGTATTGGTAGCAAGATATTTAAGTATTACTGAAAAGTGTCAGGGAGTATGGGCCCTCCAGAAGCTCCAGAGAGTAATTATATCTTGTGCTTTTCAGTTTCTGGCTGCTATGGGTGTTCTTTGGCTTGAAGCTACATCGCTCCAGCCCTTAAGGCTAGGATCTTCAAATCGCCCACTGCCTCCTTTGTGTCAGATCTCCACATTTCCCTGTTAAGGACACTTACAGTTACATTTAACGCCTACCAGAGTAATCCCAGGCAGTCTTCCCATTTCTTGATCTTTAACTTAAATCACCTTTGATTTTTCATGTAAGGATAGTGCAGACCATGTAAGGTCATGTTCACAGGTTAAGGATTAGGACGTGAATATCTTTGGAGGAGCCATTTTTCAGCTGACTATACTCACGTATATGTAAGGTACATGTGTGCACTGTCAGCAGATCAATTTGGTGCTCTTCTAGAGGGTACAATTACATTGTCAAAGTTTGTAGTATGATTCAAAACCCTTCAGCCCTAAAACGGGCTGCCCTGCCTCTCCCTTCTCCATCCTTGCCTGTGGTCCCCTGAAGAGTTCCTTCCGGTTTTCCAAGGAAAAAGCAAACTGGAGCCTGATGCACAAACACAGATGCATGATGTTCTGGTGGAACTGGAAAGTGGACAGCTGGGAGTCTTACAGGACTACTGAGGAGTAGCTCTGGAAGACAGTGGTAAATAAAAATATGTCCAGTAGTTGACACTTAAAGTGATACTGTTGGCTGTCTGGTTGGTCTAGGGTGAGAAATAGAAAAAACCAATACTTTTCCTGGGAGCTTTCTGATGAAATAGATTAGCAACAAGGGAATCTAGAGAGGTGTGTGAATGGAAGTGTCAGAAGGAGCAGGGACCCTTTCTCATGCTATTCTGTTATGCCTAATCCGCAAATCAAAGAGACACACAGGGAGATCCTGCTCTGCCTCTACCACGGAGTTCCCTGGAGGAGCCTTGTTAGTGACCTGACAGACCGCTGATTAGTTAGTCCTCCTCCTCCATGGAAGGTGCAGTGGTCCTCAGTGGAAGAAAGACACATTCTGGGTCTGGATCTTCCTATTCGGTTCAGAGTGCTTGTGACAACACCACCGTCCTTGTGACCACAGAACCCTACCACCATGATGTCATTCACAGATCACCGTTCCTGGTCAGTGTTCTGGTTCTGCTGCCATCGCTTTCTTGTCACTGGTACAGAATACCTCACACCCATAACTGAACGGTGGGTAGGTTTATTTTGGCTCAGGTTTTACACATAGTCACGTGGCTCCAATGCAGAAACCAGCATGGAGGAGGAGCAAGGGACAAGGTCAAGGCGCAAGAATACACATTTCCAGGTCACAGCCCCCATCATCTGCAACTTGCAACCAGGACCCACCTGCAAACAAAACTTTGGGGGAACATTTTAAGATCTAAACGGTAACGGTGCCTTTCTTTATTGAACCAGCTGACTTTGTAACAGTCTAAAAGATAGATTTATGTCTTGATGCATGTAGATTGTGCTTTGAGTCAGAGTTCATTTATGGGGGTCTCTTCTCTATCCTCAGGCTACGTGGATTTGGAAATCAGGAGAAGGTGGTCATTTTCCTTTCAGAATTACTGATGAAATGATTCCTTTCTTGTCCAACAGCTTTCCACTCTGCTGGTTTAGAGACCTTGGATCCTAAGATACAGCACAAAGCAAAATAAAAGTTGTATCAAATTCGGAGATGAGACCACCACTGGGGCATTTTGGAAGATGGTTATTCAGTGGTCTGGTGGTTGAATTTGAATTGATGTCATACAGAAGGGCCATGAAGGACTATATCTGGAAAGCCACAAACACATGCAAAAAGTAAAACTGAGAGAATCACATTCTTCATGAAAGATTCTTTCATCACTGAATGTGCTAACCAGTGCCAAGCAGGTGATATTTTGGCTTAAGACAAGTCAAAATTGGTGAAAGTGGTGGCAAAAGAAAGAATCCACAGATATTATCTATGGCTTTGTGTTGTTACAACATTAGGTTTTGAATATTTTCTGTTTATATGTATGCTTATTTATGATATGCTAACCATTTTCTCCTTCCAAATGTAATTCTACGTAAAAGCAGTTGGAAGCTGAAAACTTAATGTTTAGGTGACACTACTCAATGATATTGACTCCGTTGAGAAGATATTACTGTAACCAACCATGAGTAGTATTGATGCTGAAAACAGTGTAAAGTGGAAACTGAGTTTTTGTCTGCTTTATGGAGTTGAAATGAGATAAAGGATGCGTCTGAGACCTGAATAGGGTGGACTGTTCCCAGTCATAAATGTGTCGCTCTCAGCTTCAAATATTCTCATTATTGCCTGCTTTGTGATCCTGGAGGTGGACCCTGTAAGATTCGCCCTTTACTAATACCACCATGTTAAACTTTCCCAGGAGATGGTGCTAAGGACACTCAGAGGAAGGGGCTTCACTCCCAGCCTTGGTGTCTCCCTCTCTTCCTGCTTTCGTAGTGTGTGGCAGGGAGACAATTGTGGGAAATCTGGGGTCCTCCATCCCCAGTTAGTTTCCGGGACTTCCATGCACGCAGCCCATTTCACTGGCATCCCCGCTGGTTTCCAGGTCAGCCTCCCCAGTTGCCCTGAAAGTGGCTGAACACTTTTTCTACAGGAGTGCTAGCTGGTGGCTTCCCAGTGTCTTTTCCTCATTGTTCCACCTTTCTAAAACAGGCAAGAAAAAGACGTAAAAGATTTGAAAAGATGTAAAACTGCCTTTGTTTACAAATCACATAGTCACTACATAGAAAATTCTAAGGAATCGACATAGAACTAATAAAGTGAGTTGGGTGAGGTTGGAGAATACAAGGTCAGTATACAATTTTATTCATGTGTGCTGTTAGAAAGTGGAGTTTAAGAACAATTTGTTGGGCGCAGGCGCTCAACATACCATACCCCACCCGGGACTAAGGACCACGCCAACTTCCGCAATGCGCTACGTCCCTCTTTAAATTAGCCAACCCGTGCGCACTTCGTGCTCACTCCGTACTCTGTGGCAACTCCTGATTGGTCACAGCTGGATATGGTAGCCGGAGCCTGCGTCCCATTCCCACCCTGCTTCCTCGTGGCAGCCTGTGATTGGTCACGGCCAAATATATAAACCAGAGCCCGCGTGAATAAAGCAGCAGTTAACTGTCGTCCACAAGAGAGTCTCCTGTCTCCTGTTTCATTGGGGCTGCGCCGGTCAACAATTTTTATCTAAAACAGGACATAAGGATAAATGTGACTAGAGATGTGCAGATAATCCTTGAATCTATTGAATTCCTTCCTACATTTCATGGTGGCTGCACCAAAATGGCAAAGACCTAGACCATTCTTGTATTTGAGCCATTCCCCAGGGATGACTGTATATCTCGTTGTTGGGAGCCGCAGCCCCGAGCCCGGTCGCCTCACTTGGCGGACGTGAGGCCTGTAGTAAAGAGTGAGGCCTGAGGTAGATTACCCCTCCCATCGAATATGTTAGTTTCCTGCTTACCGCGTAAACAACCCGCTCAACAATATAGTCTGCCTGGCAACTGATGATGTTAGCCAATCAGCTTGCCTTGCTTACTTTAACATGATTGGACACTGTACCCGTATATATACCGGTGCCACCCCTGGGCGGAAGAAGAAGCCAGATAGAAGCCCGGAAGTAGAAGCCCAAAAGGAGCCGCGGAGAGCGGACCGGTAGAGGCTTTGGGGCAGACTGAAGCACAAAAGGAGCCGCGGGGAGCGGACCAGAGGAGGCTTCAGCTGGGAGAACCCAGGGCAGGCTGTACGGAGAAGGAAAATAAAAAGAAAAGGTTGTCCACTACCAGACTTTGTCGTGTGTCCTTCCTGCCGGCCGGGAGCGGACATCGACATTTGGAGGCCCGCCCGGGGACTGATCACCCCCGAGACGTGGAAGTGGACAACGCTCCAGTACAGAGCTGCGAGACAGGTGAGTTGGGGATAAGCCTGGGCTCTGGGTGGCGCGCACCTACAGGGCTTTTAGACTCCCCTCAGGCTCACGCGTAAGTGGCGGATTCCTTGGGCCTCACGCGGTGAGTAACATATTAAAAAATGGGAAACATGCTAGGTAGCGGCACTAAGAGCGAGGGTGGTTGTGGAGAAAGCTCTCAAGAGCTTACAAAAGTACGCAGGGTATCTGAGCAGGCCCAGTCAGGGAGCTCCCGAGAGGGGTCCGTCAAGGGGAACAAGGATGCTAAGGAGGAGGACGGGGCTCTAGCCTCGGAGTCGTCTGACTCCGAGGACGAGGGAAAGTTGAATGGCAGGGAGGCCAAAGAGACCAGCTGTCAGGAGCCTAAGTCGCTCAATAAGGAGTCGCAGGGTTCTTTTCCAGCGTCACGCCGCGAATTGCGCTCTGCTCAACCTGGTCTGCGGAGGAGTAGAGAGCTCCTGAGCGCTCCTCAGCGCGAGAGGGAGGCGATCCCTCGCCACGAGGCGGCCGCCTGGGAGCTCCCTCCCCTTTCGCCAGAACAGAAAGTGATGCACGGGCCCCCATTTTCCGCCCAATCACGGCCGCCGTCTTATGCTCCGCCGCCGGCGGGTCGGTATTTTTACAGGCGGCTTTGGCAGGGGGGACGCTTGTCTCATGAGGTACATCCACCTGGGATAGATAGTGGCCCCTACGAGATATTTCCTGTACAAGTAGCTATGGGCCAGGGACGCAATGTATGGGAGCCTTTTGAGATAAAGCAGATTAGAGAACTTAAAAATGCAGTTACAACCTTTGGGCCGACTGCGCCTTACACCATTGCCATGCTGGAGAATCTGTCTTCTGGGCCCCTCACCCCCGCGGACTGGATTCAGCTGGCAAAGGCCTGTCTGCCCTCGGGCAGTTACCTGGATTGGCGAGCCTGGTATGCAGAGTTCTCTGCCGAGCAGGCTGAGAAAAACGCCAATCGAGGAAACCGGGGGTGGAACAAGGAAATGCTTATGGGAGAAGGTCGGCACGCTGATGACCAGACCCAGTTCCCCGGCGCTGTCTATGAGCAAATCAATGCCATAGGACTCCGCGCCTGGAAGCAAGTAAGTGGTGCTGGAACAGCCTCCTTGTGTCTTTCAAAAATAATTCAGGGTACCACAGAGCCATTTGTTGACTTTGTGGCCCGAATGCAAGATGCTGCCGATAAGATATTTTCTGATCCGGGAGTGGCTCGACCGCTGGTAAGGCAGCTGATTTTCGAACAGTGTACAAAGGAGTGCAAGGCAGCGATAGCTCCTCATAAGAACAAGGACCTCAATGCCTGGATTAGGATATGCAGAGAGATAGGGGGGCCGCTCTCCAACTCGGGAGTGGCTGCTCTCCTGGCCGCGGCTATACAGCAGAGGGGACCTCGCGGGTTAGAAGGGGAATGTAAGGCTAAAGGGTGTTTTGCCTGCGGGGAGCCAGGACACATTAAACGTCACTGCCCAAACAATGCAGATGCTAGGCCTCGCCCTAGGAATGAAGAACCATATGTTTGTGGGCGATGCAAGAAGGGATCACACAAAGCTGAGGAGTGTAGGTCGGTCTTTGATGCTCAGGGCAACCGTATTTGTGGACAAGATGCTAGAGAGCCAAAAAACGGCCAGAGGGGGCCCCCTTCACAGGCGGGCCCCCGCCCCAGAGACAGGACAGCTCAGGGTGGCAGCCTTCAACAAGGGCCACCCCTGGGTCAGCAGGTGTGGACCTCAGTGTCGCCTCAGGACTTATATTAGTGCCTGATATGGGTGTTCAAGTGGTTGAAACCACTTTTAAGGGACCGTTACCCAAAAATTCCGTGGGTCTGGTGATCGGGAGATCCTCCACGGCCCTTCGGGGTCTCACAGTAGTCCCGGGGGTCATAGACTCAGACTACACAGGACATATTAAAATTATGGTTCAATCTCTTGTGGGTACTATGGTAATTAATAAAGGAGACAAGATAGCGCAGCTCTTGCTGCTCCCCAGTCTCCACAAGAGATTTCCCTCAAAGCAGAAAATTAGAGAAAGTCAAGGTTTCGGTTCCTCAGGGGAAGTCTTTGAGGGACTCCATATGACACTTGATAAAAGGCCCATGCTCTCACTTAAGGTCAATGGCAAGAATATAACAGGGCTCCTAGACACAGGAGCTGACCGTTCCATTATCTCCAGAAAGGATTGGCCTTCCAACTGGCCCACCAACACTGCAGATAACACGCTGCAGGGCCTGGGGATGGTGTCAGCTCCTCAGGTTAGTGCTTCAACCCTGCTCTGGTGCGATGAGGAGGGTCATCAGGGCCATTTCCAACCGTTTGTGTTGCAGTTGCCAGTGTCTCTATGGGGAAGGGACATCCTCACTCAGATGGATGTCACGCTTACGTCAAACTGCTCCCCCCAGGCTAAGGATATACTCAGGAACCAGGGATATACCCCCGGCAAAGGCTTGGGCAATGCCCTGCAGGGTCGGACATCCCCAATACCAGTAGAGAACAAAAAAGGTAGGCAAGGATTGGGTTTTTCTTAGGGGCCGCTGAAGAAGCTCTCCTACCCACTTTGATCAAAATCACCTGGAAATCAAATGATCCAGTTTGGGTACCTCAGTGGCCCCTGCCTAAGGAGAAGCTATTAGCCTTGTCAGAAATAGTCAGTACACAACTCAGATTAGGACATATTAAGCCGTCAACCTCCCCATGGAACACCCCCATTTTTATA